TCCAGTACCCTACAGAGTACTTCTTTGTCTTCTCCTTACAGGTCTTGATGACATCATCCATCATAAGAATGAAGAGGTAAGGTGAGAGAATATCCCCTTGTCTATCCAGGGTACTTTGTCAAATGCCTTTTCCAGATCCAAAAAAACATAGGTGCATTTCACTCTTATATTCAAGGGTTTTTTCACTCATCTGTCTCAGTGTGAAGATAAGGTCTTGAGTACTTCGGTTTGCTCTGAAGCCACATTGGGCCTCCTCCAGCTGTGGCTCTACCAGACTTATAAGTCTCTGCTCGAGAATTCAAGAGTAACTTTTACCAGGGACGCCGAGGAGGGATATGTCTCTGTGGTTTTCACATTGTCTGTTAACACCTTTTTTTAATATAGGTATAATGATGAGTAGTAGTAGTAGTAGTAGTAGTAGTAGTAGTAGTAGTAGTAGTAGTAGTAGTAGTAGTAGTAGTAGTAGTAGTAGTAGTAGTAGTAGTAGTAGTAGTAGTAGTAGTAGTAGTAGTAGTAGTAGTAGTAGTAGTAGTAGTAGTAGTAGTAGTAGTAGTAGTAGTAGTAGTAGTAGTAGTAGTAGTAAATAAGTAAGTAGTTTTTGTGATTTGCAAATGTCAGTATCCTTCCAGCCTTTTGTGCTTCGAGTTTTGAAATCGTGCTTGTATACACAGTGAAGAGCACTGGGGATACTGCATAATCCTGTGGTAGTTCCGGGGCGATTTTTGCATGGTTCTGTGGTCATGTACCCAGACTGTGCAGCCATACGTAAATGCAGAAACGCTGCTATCGAATGCACCAGCCAGGGACACACCTCTTTCTCCGTGAGCGCAGATATCAAAATATCATATCCGACTATTGTGGGCATCCTCAAGATCAAGTGCTACCACTACGGCCTCCTGTATGTTCTGTAATCCCGCAAAAATGTCTGCAGTTTAATGGCAACAATCTTCTCCAGCACCTTGTCAATGGCATCCCTGACTGTCTTATCCCAGTGGAAGACGATGAATGAAGTTCGATCCCACCAAGACTGCACAACGAGCGATGAACACTCGGAGGAGACAAAGTACCACCATTCGGATAAGGATCACTCAGGTGGAAGTTTAGGAAACCCCGTTCAACCGTTAGGTTATATTAGGGCCCCCGACCAGAGGTAACACACACACGCACACACAAAGACATATATAGTCGAACAGTTTGACGACGATAGCGTAGCAGACGGACGGACATGACAAACTGGCATTGTCGTTGGCGCGGCAAATTTTGTCCTGCGTCAGGGCTGCCAATGAAAGGTTTTTTACCCCCAGATCTGGGTTTTTATATGACGCCTACGGTTCAAATTTTAAAATCTGATTTAAAAAAAAAAATAATACCTTATATATAAGTAGGTAAATGTTTTGTTTTGTAACTATAAAATGTGTACTTTTTAACAATCTGGATATTTTTTGTTTGTTCTTTGCCTATGTATTGCTTGGGTTTTTGTTTTTTGCTTATGTATTGTTTGGGTTTTTGTTCAGCCTAGCTAGGTTTTTCACACACAAAAAATGTTATTGGCAGCCCTGGTCCAGCTTTCGTTTCTGTCTTATCCGAAATCATAATAATAAAACAAATGTACAGTTGTCTTCTGTCAGCGCTGGAAAGTATGATTGTTTTAATTCTATTGCTAACATCTGCTTATTTTGTTCTCACTTACTAGTACAAACAATACTGGTGGATCGGCAGACTTAGATAAACTATTTTTCTTATTTCAATTTTCAACGTTTCAGGAATTCTTATTCTGTTCTATCTAATAAAATAAATACTACAATGTTTGTGATACATATAAATTAAAAAAAAAAAAAAAAAAACACGACGAAATCATAGTAATTAGAAAGATCAAAATTATGGTATTTAGCTTAATTTTAAAAAGTAATAAGTAATAAAAGAGATGACAATGGCAGAAAAGACAAAGATCATAGTTAAAGTGATAGTCTAGGGTTGTTCAATCTTTCTTTCTTCCAAGAAAATTTCTTGGTTCTCCTTTAAATAACGGTCTCTAGCTGGAAGGCGACGACCGCTTAGTCGGAGTTCACTCCCCTGGCTACAGTGCAATTACGGAGTGGACAAGTCACGAATCAAAAAACAAAGTGACGTCGACATGGCTTCTAGAGCTAGACCACGCGCTGCAACTGACATTAGCGACCACGTTCTTGCGACGCAAGACACTCGTAGACCACGCACTGCGACTCAAATTAGCGACCGCGTACTTCCGACGCAAGACTTAGTGACCGTAGATGTGAGACCTGTGGATCTGTATGTCGTAATGAGCGATAAGCTTGCTTGGTTTCCGTGATGTGTTACCCTAACCCTAACCCTACCCCAAACTCTAACCCAAACCCTACCCCAAACCCTAACCCTAACCCAAACCCTAACCCTACCCCAAACCCTAACCCTATCCCAAACCTTAACCCAAACCCTAAGCCTAACCCTAGGATGACAGGTAACTATCTCATTTGTTTCGTTCCCTCTTTTCCACTCCGTAATTGCACTGCAGCCAGGGGACTGAACTCCGACCGTCGCCTTCCAGCTAGCGGCTGTTATTTAAAGGAGAGCCAATTTCTTATTTCCCGTTCCATTGCTGTACCCAGACAATTTCCCGTTCCATTTTACCCAATTTCCCCCTTCCATTTTACACAGTGTAGAGTTGATCTAGCATGTGATCTTTTTTACACTGAGCGATTAATAACCGGCAGCGCATAGTACAATGTATCACTATCTGGATGAGAATCTCCAAGGTACAGATTCCACAAACCCAGTTCAACCCATAAGGCCTAAACTCCCCACCCTCCACACCCCAACTCCCAGGCTGTTACAAGGTAACCTGATGTGCACACAGTTGAAATTAAAATACATGACCACTAGGGCTGTGTGTTCTAGACAACCCAGCATTTGTCAGTGAAATATAGCAGATTTGTATATTATTATTAAGTAAGATACTCCCATGCATCTGTTGGTCTTTTTTACAGTGTTTATATTAATCTGAAATGCTTCAGTGCATAATTGAAACAAAACAGGCAACATTGATAGAGACTGTCTGATATTAAAGTAGACTTGATTCTGATATTGTCCTCAAGTTAAGAAACAACCTTGTGTTATATCAGTGTTAGAGCGCGACTAGTAATTAAAATGGTTTGGTCAAGTATGACAACCACTAACAGACAACACTCAAACAAAGATTTGATAGTCTTTTTTATAACCTTTTAAGATTGAATAAGGATTGAGATCTATTCTTAGCCAAATCAGGGCTCACTGTGGTGTCAGACGATAAGGTGGCAGACACAGAAACACATAGTAAAAAGGCACTCCACAAAAAGATACAAAGAAGTAAAGCACTGTAGTTCAGGTGCCATCTGCACAATGGAAGTTGGCTGCAATTGGTCTCCAGCACTCTCTCTTGACCTAGCAGTATTTGTTTTCTAGGGCGAATGTTGTCCATCTCTTGAAATAGCTCCCATTTGTATTGCTTTCTAATGCTTGTTTGCTTTCTAATGCTTGTTTGCTTTCTAATGCTTGTTTGCTTTCTAATGCTTGTTTGCTTTCTAATGCTTGTTTGCTTTCTTATGCTTGTTTGCTTTCTAATGCTTGTTTGCTTGCCTTCTGTATGATTTTTATGAGTATTATGTCTTTAATGGGAAGGCACCATTGTGTAATCTACAGACACTCTCCTGTGCATCTGAAGGAATCAACACAGTCCCTGACTTGTATCTTAAGAAAATGACCTTGGCTCTCAGGTCGACCCAGTCTTTAATGGGTACCAGGTGAGATCCTGGGAAGTAAAGGTGGCCTGCATGATGTTGACCACATCTCCCACCGAGTGCTTAGTCTACATAATTTAGGTTTAGCACCATATGCTGAATACACCTGAAGGATTAGAAAAGGGGTTCTTTAGTTTAGTTTTATGTCTTTTAATGTGGCTGAAATATGTCACTTATCTCTTCTATTTCTTTATCACCCAGGGAAGCATAGGCCGTAAACCATCTCCCACCAAGCCAGCGTATCCTTTGCCAGCTCACCCAGTGTCCAACCCAGTGGTTTCCCATCTCAACCACTTTACCTCTCTATCCTCAATAACCCTAACATACCCTTGGCATATATCCTAGATCCCTGCTAGACCCAAATCATGTATGGGGAATTACTGATGGGTAGAATATGTTGAGGTCGGCCTCTACGATGATATAAAGATGTGTGCAAGTGGGATATGAATGAAACAGGCATTGAGAGAGATTTGTGGAAACAAAATGCATGGACCATGTTGTACAGAGGAGCAATTCAGGATGAGAACGAAGGAAAAAATGATTGCAGAAAGGATGAGAGCTGAGTGTCTGAGAAGAAACACACTGATTACATGAGATGGCAACAAGTCCAGAAATTCTATTTTCCAATTGGGGAAGATTTCTCAACACATTCAGGTTTTGCTAATCACACTCGCCATCACACCCTAAATATGTTCTGCGGACCACCAGTTCCTAACCCTTCTTTTTCACTCACTCGATTTCTGCTTTTTGGCCTCCCTTTAAGAGCAGTGGCAAAATACTGAATCTAAAATGTGCCTAGCAAAACTGCAAGAGTACAAAAAAAATGCTGTGGTTTGTTCTGGAATGACCTGTAAAGGATAAACAACTAAATTAAAAGCTTCACCCCATTTGGTTGGCCTGTTGTTACTTGTTTTATTTTTTTTGTTCATGATCGGTTGATTTATATGCCTATGATATTGAATGGGAGATAGTACGGCCCACCAACTCTATCTTGAGTTGCCTTTTACTTCTTCTTTTCCTTTGTCTAATTGCCTTTTACAACATTTTTATAGGGTGTAATGTTACTTTTCTCGACTTCACCTAACGACCCCAGTAAAACTTGGGCTGTGTGTTAATGTTTATATTTTATACCATCTTCCTCTAGACTGTGTTTTGCCAGTGAAATGTTCGATGAGAAATATCGAGGCATAAATTGATATTACGTCGGCCATGACTGAGTTTGAGAGTGTTAGACTATGGTTGCGGAACACGTACAACATTGGAGTCTCTGATGAATGGCTGACAGCCTGTCTCGAGTGGATACAGCAGGAGTATCAGGTATTTAGAGGCATACCAGTTAAAATTTGTTAACTCTTTCTGTACGAGACTGATGGTAATTTGATGACTCTTTCTGTCCACAGTAGTTGCTTTTGTAAACTAATAAAGTCTGACTCTAAGAAAATAATCCAATAATAAACCACTTGAAGAGAAGGTGTTGAGTGTAAGTGGGCTTCAGGTATATATGTATACATAAATATATGTATATACACTTGTGTTCTTTTATAAATTTGGATAAATGTATTTTCTTTTTTTAAGCCACAGTAACATAAGAAACATTTTAATGCACTTCATCATCCCATTATGGATCACATAAAACTGACAGTTCATTCTTCCATTCTGTTCTGTCCTGCGCAGTCATATAGCTAACATATTGTATTTGTCTATTCTCTGTGTAGGGTGTCCTGCCGCCTGTGAATGATTTATTGCCTCAAGTATTTCAACAATGGCTGCTGTCGGACCTCTCCGAGATCGGGGAGCAAGTGCTTCCACAGAACATTGTGAATGAGGAGAAATCAGAGCTTGTTGGTAACTACCCGCTTCAGGTTAGAAAGGCATGCCTTCTTTTTCTTAGCCTTTAAAAGAGCTTTCTGGCTGCCTTGACTTTCCAGGATATTTCCTGATACCCATTTTTTGTGTGACTGGATTGATCCAGAAGCACCTTGCCATCTATAAAGAACTGTATTGACATGACTGTAAAATATTTGCATATACAGGCCTCAAAGACAAATATCGGAATGAGACAGTTGGTAACATAGATTTGATTTGATTTAATTCAAGAACCCACATCACAGCACTCGGGGCATTCCCATAAGTGCTCCGTCCCCATCTTCAGCAGCCAGCAAAGAGTTACAATATTAATGGTGCCAGAAGCATTCTAATTAAAAATCCGTCTTGCCTTTCCTCTGAGCCTCAAGCATCTGCCAGAACCTCTGGTCACTCCCCGCTGCATCAATCTCACCAGACTGTGATGATCCATCTGCTCCTCCGAACTGTACACGCTCTCCCACAAGGCACTAACCACGTCTGCCTTATCATGTATCAGTATTCCACCAAGTTATGCAGAGCTGGTCAGTCTGTTCGCCTGTTCTTTCCCAACACACCGGTGTTCCCTTGTGGAAAAATCCAGACATAACATGTTGGTAACATAAAAAGTGAAAAAACAAAAATATGCAACAACTGAAAGATTTGTGTAAAGAGAACAGAGAAAGACAATATAAGAAATTCATGACAATCTTTGTTATGTAATTGAAATGTATCAGCACACATGTGGATACATTTTGTCCACAGAATGGGGAAAAGTATGATCGTCCATGCCAATCAACGATGGATTGAACCATTTTGCCCCATTAATCCCTTAAATCAAAACCCACAAAACCAGTGCTGTTAACTAGACGTTTCGGAGACTGGCCAAAGCAGCAGTACCGGTTAATGATGTTTGGAAAAGGACCTTTTTCAACATCTTCAGGCATATTGTGCGAGACCTATATTTTATAGACCAAGCGGCACTTAGTGAGTGCTGTGGTCAGCATCATACCGACCGCCTTTACTTCCCAGGCATTTACCTGGTACCAAATTGAGGCTGAGTCGACCTGGGAGTCTATGTCATTTTTGAAAACAAGTCTGGCAACACCAGGATTTGAGCCCACAGCCTTCTGATCCACAGGCGAGTATCTAGCCGCTACACCACAGCAGCTGCCAATGATGCTAGTGGATTTATGGAAATGTTGAAACACATCCTTATCACAGGAAATATTTATTTACATGTGTAGTTCTTATCTATGCACATTGAAATGTTTGCTGGTTCAATACTTCTTGGCGCTCACTGGCAGAAAGTTCTGGTTGTTTGTCCACTTCTGGCCTGCAGTCGGGTTTCAGAACCTGAGTGTTGCGTATGCATCTGTTTGACAGATCTGACTCATTTGGGTGCAGACTGTTGGTTCCTTGCCTCTTAGGCTTCGACTTCGAAGGAAGCTAACAATTAGTCTACTTTTACGACATGCTTTTGGGTAGGGCCCTGGAACCCACACGGGGAGTTGGTGCAATAGCCTTGGACTTACTTTGTGATACGTGGTAGGTGATTACAACATGGATAGGCTTATCCATGTGAAATAGTATTTCTTAGAAACCAAGCCAACCATTTTATATCTTTTCTTCCTCTGCATTCGCTGGCTGTAAATTGTGACGGAAAGTTCTGGTGTTTCATTTATGTCTAGACTTGAGTTGCAGGCACATCCATTTTACAGATCTGGCCCTCTTGTGTGCAGATAGTTAGCTCTTCACCTCTCAGATAAATGCTTTCTGACCTTAAGGAAACATAACCCTGTTTGCATTTTCCAGGCAACCCCCCCCCCCCCCCCCCCCATTTCTTGGATGACCATGGAGAGGTGTAGAAAGGTCTTGACAGTATGATCCCTGGTGCACCACCACATGTGTTGATGCACCACCGCATGTGTTGATGCACCACCGCATGTGTTGATGCACCTCTACAACCCAGCCTTGTTGATAATTTTCATGTATTTAACAGAATTTAAATCAGAAATACAGTAGAGTGTTTAAAAAATATATATATAATAATGTGCGTGTAGCCTTAAGGCTAATACACTTAAAAACTTGTTCTGCTGGATTCTGGGTATCTTCTTATTCGTCTTGGTGTTTGCCGGCTGTAAACTGTGGCGGAAAGTTCTAGTTGTTTATCCACCTCTGGACTTAAGACTTGTTGCAGAACCTGAGTGTTGCATGCATATCCATTTGACACATCTGACTTATTTGTATGCAGACTGTTGGTTCCTTGCCTCTGTACTCCGACTGTGAAGAAAACCCCTAATTAGTCTACTCTTACGACATGCTTGTTGGGAAGGCAGTGGGTCTGTTCTTGTTTTCCTCACGATGGGGCCCCAGAACCCACACAGTGAGATTCTGGGTGTGATTTGTGTCTGAATGATCCAGCAGGTCAGTGAAAACTTAGGTGGGATTCTCAGAGATGTGGTTTTATAGAAGGGTGATGAGAAGACTAAATAAACGATATAATAAAAATGTTTTTGAAAAAATACACTCCAAAAAGATAGTTGATTACCCGCATCAGAAGAAGCCACTCCACCATCCTCTAGGCACATTATGAAAAGGAGAAAACTGGGGTCTGTTCTGACAACAGAAAAGTTGGAGGTAAGAAAGTGGGAGGAAACCAAGATAGAAGATGTATCCTTTGTGAGACAATTTCTGTCAAGGCTCTTTCCCTGTGTGGGTTCTGGGGCTCCATTGTGGGGGAAAACAAGGTTCTGGAACAGGACTGAAGTCCAGAAGTGGTTAAACAACCAGAACTTTCCGTTAGAGTGTGCAACAGGTGAACATGAAGAAGAAGAAGTCAAGGCATCTTTATTGTACTTGTTATCTATATGTGACACACTAAATCATTTCTTCTGTAAAACTTCTAGCTGCAGCTTCCACATTATTGTTCACTAATCGATTGACTATCAGTGATTCACTTCATAGATTTACACTGGTGACTAAAAGTTCAAGACCACCTAGCAAATAATTGATTTTGTCCATACCATTACGGAGTTTGGTATCCTTTTTATTTTGAGGTTTTGAACAATGGATCAACATCATGGCACACAGGTAGTAATCCATAAGTGCTCCATTCTTCTTCTAACTCAAGTCTGAGTCTGAAGAAGCTCAGAACAGTGCACGAGGATCCTGAAATACTTCGGGTAGATTTTTAACTCCAAATTTTGACCGAGCAGCGCCGTTAGGCTACTCTTTTAGATTTCCAACTGCCAAGAGATTTTTTAACGTGCGCAACAATGCACATGGGCGTCCGATCTCACTACCCAGAGACCAGGGGGAATTACTAGAAGTCCAAGTCCACGTGAAAAAATCCCAGCACTCAACGCAGATTGAACCCAGAACCTCTAGCACTCGAGGTGGACACCATGCCTTGAGACCACACAGCCCCCTTCATCCATTTTGTTTTAAGGTCCGCTAAAGGTAATCATTAAGTCATCATGATGCCCTAAAATAGCCTTAGATGCAATACTTTATAACAGCATAGAAATATCAATTATGGTCTTAACTTTTTGTCCACCACTACAGGGCCTTCTTGACATAAGTCAAACTGATCGTGAGTTGAAGGTATATTTTCAGCACTATTTTCATGCAAGTGGGTTTTACAAATAGTTCATAAAACACAACAGTTCAGTCTGTGTATGTAAAACTAGACTCTGCTGCACTCTAGGCATCATTTTCAGGAACTTTTTGACCCTAACAATCTTTCTTTAGTTACTATTTTAATTATATTTTTGTGGTCGTAAGTGTGGCTGGTTTAAAATTGCGTAGGTTGTAATTTGAGAAGAAGGTTATACTGATATTCTTGTTAAGACACTCTAGGAAACAACAAGCTGTGTTCTTTTTCTTCTGCAGCTACTTTCACTTGTGGATGTAGGTTTCCCGCTTTATGGCCAGAAACAAAAACTTCAAGGTCGTGTTAATACAAATGAGGAGGTCTCTGCAGATAAGCCGTTTCAACCAGGCGTAAGTTTATTTTGTGTATTGCTTTGTCGATTGTTCCCTAGCTCTGATACCGATCATCTGTTAACCTTTGATGCTTAGCTCAACAAAGCAGAATATAAACAAAAGAAAAGAAATAGTTATTTCAGTTTCCAAGCTCCACACTTGCCATTACATACAATGCTGTACTACTACGTCATTTAGTCAGCCACCTGGCATCTTGGTCTACTGGGGCCAGTTATCACACTTTAGCTTGGATTGCTGGCTCAGATGAATGTGCAGTCTTGATTGAGGGTTTGATATCTGCCGGCTGGACTGAAATATCAGATTAGATTAACACTCTTGCCAAGTCGCAGTTAGTACAACTTGTTTTGTAGTTCATGCAACTTTGTCTGAACTGGAAATTGCAGCGCTCTACAAACATAAATGTGTTTTCCATTTCATTGGTGAAGCTGATGCTAAATTCCATTGAGATAAAGACTGTTTAGAAACTACTAAGCTACTTAATTGGGTCCTGAGTTGAAAGGATTATGTGTAGTTTGCAGTTTTTTATGCTCTTAAAAAGAATGAAAATAAACATTCCAGAGTCACTGAATATGCCTCTTAAAACAAAACAAGCAAAATGTTTAAGGTACAGATCAATATACTATCACCTCTAAAATGTGAGATCCAAATGGTTCATATACTAGCAAGTCACACTGAATAGAACCTGACCTGCAACAGATGGCATAGCTAGTGCTGGTCAGTCTACAACAGATGGCATGGCTAGTGCTGGTCAGTCTGCAACAGATGACATGGCTAGTGCTGGTCAGTCTGCAACAGATGACATGGCTAGTGCTGGTCAGTCTGCAACAGATGACATGGCTAGTGCTGGTCAGTCTGCAACAGATGGCATGGCTAGTGCTGGTCAGTCTGCAACAGATGAGATGGCTAGTGCTGGTCAGTCTACAACAGATGGCATGGCTAGTGCTGGTCAGTCTACAACAGATGGCATGGCTAGTGCTGGTCAGTCTGCAACAGATGAGATGGCTAGTGCTGGTCAGTCTGCAACATGACATGGCTAGTGCTGGTCAGTCTGCAACAGATGAGATGGCTAGTGCTGGTCAGTCTGCAACATATGACATAGCTAGTGCTGGTCAGTCTGCAACAGATGACATGGCTTGTGCTGGTCAGTCTGCAACAGATGACATGGCTATTGCTGGTCAGTCTGCAACATATGACATGGCTAGTGCTGGTCACTCTGCAACATATGACATGGCTAGTGTTAGTCAGACTGCAACATATGACATGGCTAGTGCTGGTCAGTCTGCAACAGATGACATGGCTAGTGTTGGTCAGTTTGCAACAGATGACATGGCTAGTGCTGGTCAGTCTGCAACAGATGACATGGCTAGTGCTGGTCAGTCTGCAACAGATGACATGGCTAGGTGCTGGTCAGTCTGCAACAGATGACATGGCTAGGTGCTGGTCAGTCTGCAACAGATGACATGGCTAGGTGCTGGTCAGTCTGCAACAGAAGACATGGCTAGTGCTGGTCAGTCTGCAACAGATGACATGGCCAGTGCTGGTCAGTCTGCAACAGATGATGTGGTTAGTGCTCGTCAGTCTGCAACAGATGACATGGCTAGTGCTGGTCAGTCTGCAACAGATGACATGGCTAGTGCTGTTCAGTCTGCAACAGATGACATAGCTAGTGCTGGTCAGTATGCAACAGATGACATGGCTAGTGCTGGTCAGTTTGCAACAGTGACATGGCTAGTGCTGGTCAGTTTGCAACAGATGACATGGCTAGTGCTGGTCAGTCTGCAACAGATGACATGGCTAGTGCTGGTCAGTCTGCAACAGATGACATGGCTAGTGTTAGTCAGACTGCAACATATGACATGGCTAGTGCTGGTCAGTCTGCAACATATGACATGGCTAGTGTTGGTCAGACTGCAACAGATGACATGGCTAGTGTTGGTCAGACTGCAACAGATGACATGGCTAGTGTTGGTCAGTTTGCAACTGTGCCTTAATTTGTCATTGAAATTCTGTTGATTCACTCCTTTACTGATTATAAAAATAAATAAAAAACCCAAGATAACAGGACGCTGCTCCACTGTGATGCATGACAAAAATTGTGACTGCCATCTTTAAACTATTATGACATCTCCATGTTCGTCTGCACAGCGGTGTCATAAGCTGAACACTGTAGATATCCTAAACGACAATACTGAAAGGTTACTAAAAAATATATTGTTATTTTGTATCACACTTTTAAGGCTTTCATTAGTGCCATGACTAGCATGCTTGTCTGCTGGTCAGGTAGTCAAAGGTTTGAATCCCAATCTAGGAGGATTTGTCATCAAATGTACCTGGATTCTAAGGTCAGTCAAGACTTCACAATGAGAAAATGTTATGAGAATTAAAGGTGGCTTGCTGTACTACTGACCCCTGACCCCATCATGTATTGAGTATGATTGGTCCAAAAAAATAATCCTCTGTGGATTCCGGGGCCTGTTTGAGATTTGAGGGAAGGGGGGAATAGACCCTGCTTTTTATCAAGCATCTCATAGAAGGCAACTAATAAGGGTTCTCTGAAATCAGATGTGTTGGACCAAAAGATGCAGATATCTTGGCCTAATTGCAAACCACAAGCAACATGTCAGCGACTCTTTTAAGGACAAATGCAAAAGAAGAAGGTCTGTAAAAAAAATATGGTGCTCGTACTATATGCTGTGTATATTGGAATGTGGGGAAATGTGTTCTTTTTTTTTTTTTTTTGGTATGTATATTGATAACTTACTTGTGAGAAAGGGAATTCTCAAGAGCTACATAAATCCTATCCTATGGAGATAAATTATGGACAGTTGGCAAGTTAGTGAAAAAATTATGTGGAAACGATTATGTGATTTTATAGATGAATGATGAAGACATCGTGGACAGATCAAAAGAGTAATGATGATATCTTGAAAACAACTTGCTCACGAAGAGAACTGATTGCCCACATCAGACTGTCTACATTCTTTGATCACATCATGAGAAGGAGAAAACTGGGAGTACATTGTGACATTAGGAAAGTGGAAGGGACAAGAGGCTGAGGAAGACCGAGAGAGAGAAGATGCTGGATGGTTTGTCACTACGGCTATGAAGATCATCTGTATCAGAATTGATTGAAAGTACATGAGACAGAAGGCTGTGGATAGATATGACTACCAACACAACTTGGCATAGGTTAGAAAAAGAAGTCTTACTTTTGACATGTCTAGTCAGTGGTGACTAAAATATGTGTGTCTGTTTACAGTGGGAACCCAAACCTTCTCGCATGCTCCTGTTCAGGCTAACAGACGGACACACTCACATACAAGCCTTGGAATATAAACAGATCAAAGACTTACACGCAGAACTGCCAAGTGGGCTGAAGGTAGCACCATGACCAGATTTGTCATTTTAGTCTCTTCTCTATTTATCTACTGTTTTATGATTTTAATGTGGTCACTATTCAAGTTTTGTGACTTTAGTCTTCTCTCTGTTTATCGACTGTTTTGTTACTCTGGGCCAGGGCTGTTCAACTAAGTCTTCCAGTTTTGTTACTCTGGGTCAGGACTGTTCAACTAAGTCTCTCTGTTTTGTTACTCTGGGCCAGGGCTGTTCAACTAAGTCTTCCTGTTTTGTTACTCTGGGTCAGGACTGTTCAACTAAGTCTTCCAGTTTTGTTACTCTGGGCCAGGACTGTTCAACTAAGTCTTCCAGTTTTGTTACTCTGGGCCAGGGCTGTTCAACTAAGTCTCCCTGTTTTGTTACTCTGAGCCAGGGCTGTTCAACTAAGTCTTCCAGTTTTGTTACTCTGGGTCAGGGCTGTTCAACTAAGTCTTCCAGTTTTGTTACTCTAGGCCAGGGCTGTTCAACTAAGTCTTCCAGTTTTGTTACTCTGGGTCAGGACTGTTCAACTAAGTCTTCCAGTTTTGTTACTCTGGGTCAGGGCTGTTCAACTAAGTCTTCCAGTTTTGTTACTCTGGGCCAGGGCTGTTCAACTAAGTCTTCCAGTTTTGTTACTCTGGGCCAGGGCTGTTCAACTAAGTCTCTCTGTTTTGTTACTCTGGGCCAGGGCTGTTCAACTAAGTCTTCCAGTTTTGTTACTCTGGGTCAGGGCTGTTCAACTAAGTCTCTCTGTTTTGTTACTCTGGGCCAGGGCTGTTCAACTAAGTCTTCCAGTTTTGTTACTCTGGGTCAGGACTGTTCAACTAAGTCTTCCTGTTTTGTTATTCTGGGTCAGGACTGTTCAACTAAGTCTTCCAGTTTTGTTACTCTGGGCCAGGGCTGTTCAACTAAGTCTCTCTGTTTTGTTACTCTGGGCCAGGGCTGTTCAATTAAGTCTTCCAGTTTTGTTACTCTGGGTCAGGGCTGTTCAACTAAGTCTTCCAGTTTTGTTACTCTGGGTCAGGACTGTTCAACTAAGTCTCTCTATTTTGTTACTCTGGGCCAGGGCTGTTCAACTAAGTCTTCCAGTTTTGTTACTCTGGGTTAGGGCTGTTCATCTAAGTCTTCCAGTTTTGTTACTCTGGGTCAGGACTGTTCAACTAAGTCTCTCTGTTTTGTTACTCTGGGCCAGGGCTGTTCAACTAAGTCTCTCTGTTTTGTTACTCTGGGTCAGGACTGTTCAACTAAGTCTCTCTGTTTTGTTACTCTGGGTCAGGGCTGTTCAACTAAGTCTCTCTGTTTTGTTACTCTGGGCCAGGGCTGTTCAACTAAGTCTTCCAGTTTTGTTACTCTGGGTCAGGACTGTTCAACTAAGTCTTCCAGTTTTGTTACTCTGGGCCAGGGCTGTTCAACTAAGTCTCTCTGTTTTGTTACTCTTGGCCAGGGCTGTTCAACTAAGTCTTCCAGTTTTGTTACTCTGGGTCAGGGCTGTTCAACTAAGTCTTCCAGTTTTGTTACTCTGGGCCAGGGCTGTTCAACTAAGTCTTCCAGTTTTGTTACTCTTGGTCAGGGCTGTTCAACTAAGTCTTCCAGTTTTGTTACTCTGGGTCAGGACTGTTCAACTAAGTCTCTCTGTTTTGTTACTCTGGGCCAGGGCTGTTCAACTAAGTCTCTCTGTTTTGTTACTCTGGGTCAGGACTGTTCAACTAAGTCTCTCTGTTTTGTTACTCTGGGTCAGGGCTGTTCAACTAAGTCTCCTCAGAGACCAGCCTGTTGAAAACTGGGATCATCGTTAGCCAGTGGCAGTGAGCCCCAGCGTAGAAATATCATTGATTTAATACATTTGGCAATGATCCGCTGGCTACTTGCTAGGCGTCTGCAGGTTGGATTCGGCCTGTTGAATAGCTCTGCTCTAGTCTCTTCTCTGTTTAGCTACTGTTTTGTGACTGTAGTGGTGTCTTGATGTCTTCTCTGTTTATTTACTGCTTTGTGACTTTAGTGGCTTCTATGTTTATTTACTGCTTTGTGACTATAAGGGCTTCTCTGTTTATTTACTGCTTTGTGACTATAATGACTTCTCTGTTTATTTACTGCTTTGTGACTTTAGTGACTTCTCTCTTTATTTACTGCTTTGTGACTTTGGTGACTTCTCTCTTTATTTACTGCTTTGTGACTTTAGTGATATTTACTGCTTTGTGACTTAAGTGACTTCTCTCTTTATTTACTGCTTTGTGACTTTGGTGACTTCTCTCTTTATTTACTGCTTTGTGACTTTAGTTATATTTACTGCTTTGTGACTTTAGTGACTTCTCTCTTTATTTACTGCTTTGTGACTTTAGTGGCGTCACTGTTTATTTACTGCTTTGTGACTTTAGTGACTTCTCTGTTAATTTTCTGCTTTGTGACTAGTGACTTCTCTCTTTATTTACTGCTTTGTGACTTTAGTGGCTTCTCTGTTTATTTACTGCTTTGTGACTTTAGTGACTTCTCTCTTTATTTACTGCTTTGTGACTTTAGTGGCTTCTCTCTTTATTTACTGCTTTGTGACTTTAGTGGCTTCTCTGTTTATTTACGGCTTTGTGACTTTAGTGACTTCTGTCTTTGTTTACTGCTTTTTGACTTTAGTGGCTTCTCTCTTTATTTACTGCTTTGTGACTTTAGTGACTTCTCTCTTTATTTACTGCTTTGTGACTTTAGTGGCTTCTCTGTTTATTTACTGCTTTGTGACTTTAGTGACTTCTCTCTTTATTTACTGCTTTGTGACTTTAGTGTCTTCTCTGTTTATTTACTGCTTTGTGACTTTAGTGACTTCTCTCTTTATTTACTGCTTTGTGACTTTAGTGGCTTCTCTCTTTATTTACTGCTTTGTGACTTTAGTGGCTTCTCTGTTTATTTACGGCTTTGTGACTTTAGTGACTTCTGTCTTTGTTTACTGCTTTTTGACTTTAGTGGCTTCTCTCTTTATTTACTGCTTTGTGACTTTAGTGACTTCTCTCTTTATTTACTGCTTTGTGACTTTAGTGGCTTCTCTCTTTATTTACTGCTTTGTGACTATAATGACTTCTCTGTTTATTTTCTGCTTTGTGACTTTAGTGGCTTCTCTGTTTATTTACTGCTTTGTGACTTTAGTGACTTCTCTGTTTATTTACGGCTTTGTGACTTTAGTGACTTCTCTCTTTATTTACTGCTTTGAGACTTTTGTGTCTTTGTGCTTATCAGCTGCTTGGTTACTTTAGCATCTTTTCTGTTTATCGTTTACCTTGTAACCTTCTTCATTTATCCATTATTTTGGTATCTTCTTTAATCCAATAATTTTTGACTCAACTTTCTTTTCTACTTGTTAATTACTTTGTGTTTTTAAAACAGTTATAGATGTATATTGCTTTTCACAGGAATCAGTGATTCATCTGTTGCTGCTTGAATGTATGTCATTTCTGTCATCTCAAAGAGTGATTTTCACTTTTTTTTTTATTCTGCCACAAGTTACTTGTTTCTGGAAAATTCTTGTGTCGCCGAGGAGTCCTCATGCTGACCCCTGATTGTGTCCAGGTACTTGGCGGAGAGGTGGACACACTTGTAGAACAAAACACACCTTTAGCAGTCCTGGAGAGGGAAATGTGAGTTGTGCCTCCGAGTTTCAATATAGCATTCATGCTTTTTTCAGTTTCAAAATAGCATTCATGCTTTTTTCATTCCTTCTTGAGATTTCAAAATACAATGGTACCTCAGTATTCATCTGCTTTCCAAGTCCAACTTGATAGATGTACCTTTAGATTCAAGCAGTTTTGCTACAACTTTTATTTTGAATACGACTCGTGTGTTAGAACTTGTGTGAGTCAAAATGAGCCATGACACTTGTGCTTCCCTTGTTTACCCCCCTCAAGACAACGCCACGACTGCCTACATGGGTCAGTACCCAAGTTGCTAGAATGACCAGACAGTGTCATATTTTCAACATATCCTGAGGAGAAGGCAGAAGCAAAGTTCTTTGGACATTTTTGTAGTAAGAGTCATATATGATGAGCCTCAACCAGGTCCAAGTAAAGAAAGAGAGTCCACCCCCCCCCCCCCCCCCCAAAATCAGATTCCTGAAGTTTCATTCAAAAGGCACTCTCCTTCCAAGCAATAACATCTCCTCCTTTCTCAGCACCATCATAGCAGGCACCGTGAGGTTCAGCTTTCATTTATTGTGCCTAATTGCTTTTGTATATGTGTATTTTAAGGGGGGGGGGGCTGCGTGGTCTCAAGGCATGGAGTCTGCTAGAGGTTCCCCGGTAACGGCTAGGATTTTTTCATGTGGACTTGAACTTCTGGTAATTTCCCCTGGTCTCTGGAAAGTGAGATCTGACGTTAAAAAAATCCCTTGGAAAGAGTAGTCTAACGGCGCTGCCCTTGCAAAATTTGAAGTTAAAAATCTACCCAAAGTATTTCAGGATCCTTGCCGGTGCTACAAAGCCTGTGCATTATGCTGAGCTTCTTCAGACTCAGACTTGAGTTAGAAGAAGAACAGAGCACTTATGGGTTACCACCTGTGTGCCATGATGTTGATCCATTGTTCAAACCTCAAACCTCAATATGTATTTTAATTATTAGCAGTGTTTAAATGATTGTATACAACTCCATCGATGTATAATTTGCCAGTAACAGTAAGATTGTTATCATGGAAACAGATTAATCATTCTCTCTTTATTTCCTATGGGAAGTACATCCTGTTTGGGATAAGTCCAAGAATCTGGAATGGATTAAGCACGTATACTGAAGTACCACAGTATTTAAATTGTTGTTTTTGCATGTCCATCTTTCTGGACAGTATTGTTCCATTGTGCTATAGGAAAGCATGGCAACTGCAGCCCATGGAGTAAGGGCCAGGGATGGAGTGTGTCCTCTCCACAGCACACAGCTGGGGCAGTATTGTAGAGACCATGGGTGGCCCATGTTGCATGACCTCACTCTCAGCCTGCTTTGTTTACTCCAAAGGAAAAGTAGCACCAGTATGTTAGAATAAAGCATTCTGCAGAAGCTGCCAGATCCGAAGAGCAGTGTGCTGTGTTTCTGTTGGAGTTTCCTTCTTAGACCAGCTGCTAACCAAGTCAATGGGCGGCCTTGTCTGCTGTGCCATAACATGAAGTTTTCAGGTTGTATTTCCTTGTCCCAGGATAAGACATCCTTTCTTCCTGACTAGCAAAGCCTGGGCAGTCTTGTAAGAGTTGCTCTGGACATTGCTTTGGTGCACTACAGCCTCTTGTGGCAAAGTCGACGTGACCTGTATTGTATGCTGAGAGTTTACAGTGATCTGTTCTGAGTGAGAATGTAATTTTGATTGTATGTATGTTTATGTATTTGGTATGTAAATTTGAATGTATGCATTTACCTTCCATGTTTTTTGTGTATTTTGCTTATACACATCTATGTAAATTGTTACATGAACATAAAAATAAAGATAAAATGCAATTGCCGTATGGAAAATTAGTGTTTAGAAGAATTGAATTTACATTCAGCCTTGCGTGCCCAATTTGTTACCCATTTGAAAAAAATTAAAATGTTTTGGGCCAGAAGGCACTAAAATCACAGCCTAGCTGTAAACTACAACATATCAGCTGCTTTTAAGGGCAAACACAGAAGAAGAATAAGAAGATGTTAACAGTCATATTTTACATTTTGTGAGTTCATTGTAAAAACATTACACTCGACCTGTAACCAAATATGTAAACATTTTCTTTGGAATAGGATGAGAAACCGGGAGGATGAAGGGAAACATGCCAAGACACAGTTCTCTGGAGCATTTCTCTCTTGTGGGGCTGACAAGATGCTGGACAACTCACAGAAACAATTGAAGACTGAGGGCTACAGTGGACTGACTAGCTGTGCCAGGATGTCTAGACCGGGCTCGCAGCAAGTGAAACTGGAACCTCGTGGGTTTGCTTCATCCAGTCTTGGTCACTTCAGTTTGAAGCAGGAGACTGGCTCCATAGACTCGAAGGTCAAGTACGTTGAACAGGAATTCAAGCATGTGGAGACATGGCAGAAGCAAGTGAGTGTTGTTATACGTTTTAAATTAAGGTTAATGGAAGGAAGCAGTGAGCGCAGCAAGTAAATCATTGGCTGTGTGATTTTTGCGTGTGTACATTTTTATAGGTTGCAATATTGTTGCTCTTTGCCTTAGTCTCGACTCATGTCAGCTCTATTTTCTCCTCTGTTCTGACCTAAAGTTAGTACGAACAGAGATATTGACGAGACACAGCTATGATGAAATTACTGTTTATTGCTGTATCACTGAAGTGTTGTCCAATCATTGACCTAGGTTCTCACTCGTTGTTTTAAGACTCACTCACGACTACTGCCGCAACAGGAATACAAACTTGAATGTAGATTCAGTTACTTTTCATTCCGTGCGTTCCATTTACACTGGTAAATATGAATCACAGTGCCATAAATATTCAATCACTTGACGTTAAAATTTAGAGTCGCTTCTATTCAGCCATTTCCTTGCATTCCAGGTACTCACTGCCACTGTTAGCAATCACAATTTATATCAGACACTCAACTCAATCAACCTGCCTCTCGTACTGTCAAACACCAGCTTACTCTATCTCCTTTCTCCCCTTCAAACCTTTGTCCTCATCCCACAGGTTCACTCAAACATGGGAAATCCAAAGCGTACCTTTTCCATGCTTCCCCCATTTAACTGACCCTTGACTCTAACTCGTCACACTGGGGAACTCTCTGGGATTCCTGGGAATTTCCCAGTCGTTATGGATGTCAATCTAAATTTATTTAAAGAGAGCAGAAGTGTGTTTGTACTTGTTGGCACAAGTTAAAGTTGATATGATCGACTTAACTGCGCCAGGTTTTATCCCATAAAGCTCTAGTCGTCTCTGCAGAAAGGCAAGATGCCTGCCAAGAGCGTTGCACAAAGCATGAACTCCGTAGCTGCTGCGATAATGCCCAAGGATATCCATAAAAATTGCATTCATGAACCGAATGACTCAGCCGTGAAATGAACCCATGAACTTCAGAGCCTGAATCAAACAGCTTGTCCACTTCGCCATGGATATCAGTTATTTCATTGTTTTATCAAGCTTGTCATCATCATCATCATCATGATCCTGTCATGCAACTATATATCCCATGGGGCTCATTGTCTAGTCCTGAATCCCCATTGTGGGGTAAAGAAGAATAGATCCACTGCCTCCCCAACAAGAGTAGTTTCAGAGCCTCCCCAAGAACAGACCCACTGGATCCCCAACAAGAGTAGATCCAGAGCCTTCGCAAGAACAGACCCACTGGCTCCCCAACACGAACAGACTCACTGTCTCCCCAACAAGAATAGATCCAGAGCCTTCGCAAGAACAGACCCACTGGCTCCCCAACACGAACAGACTCACTGTCTCCCCAACAAGAATAGATCCAGAGCCTTTGCAAGAACAGACCCACTGGCTCCCCAACACGAACAGACTCACTGTCTCCCCAACAAGAATAGATCCAGAGAGCCAGAACTTTCTGCTAGTTTACAGCTGGTAAGTGTGAAGAAGAAGAAGCATTCCCTTCTACCTCATGCAAAACTTACAATATGATTGATGTGAATCCAGACCAGCACCTTTGACCTCTCTTAACAATGTTTATCTTGGGTGTCTAGCATATAACTCAGCACAGTAGACTTTGAGCAGGATTTTTCTTGTTTTTGTTTGCTTTCTTTAGCCAGTGACTATTCCCATTATCCTCACAATTTCTTTTAACTATTTCCATTACCAATATTATTTCCTTTGACTGTTCATATTACCCATTCAAGTGCCATCACCACAATAAAGGTTGGCTGCAGGGGATCTTCTAACACAACCTGTCTCATGTCTTGATTGTACAAAGAAAAAAGTAACCTTCAGTAAATATGCTGGTGAAGTGTTCCCTGTTCTATAAGAGCTCATTGGTACTTGATTTCTTTCAGGTCAGTATTTTGTCATCACAGTGAATACATATCGCTCGTAACTTTCTGATCAGTAACTTTCTGACAAATTCATTAATGAAATCATCAGCGGCAGCGACACAGTTAATTCCCCTTTGTCTCAACAGGAAGATGACATGAACTATGACGACTGCTTCGGTGATGACTTAGACCTTCAGGAGATTGATGCTTTTGACCGTGCTTCCCCTGCAGGGATGCAGGAAGACACTTCAGAGACAATACATTCAGGCATAGGATTTCATAGATCAGATTCTTGGTCCAGCTCACGTGAAAGAGGACAAGCTCAGAATCCACCTCAGAATGTTGTGGGCACAAGCAGAGTTTCAGACCTGAAACTGTCAACAAGTTTGGATCAGTCTACAAACTTGTCAAATGCAGATGATGTTTTTGAGGCGTTTGATGATGATTTTGAGATTGATGACATTTCTGATGTCTTTGAAAGTAATGACAGCAGTGTATTTGGATCGGCTTTACCTGGTGGGGTAGCAAGAAATGCATCCAATTCAACAGCAACAAGTACATTCATGCAGAATGCTGCTGCTGGTAGTAATGGAAAGAACTCTCAATCAACTCTTCATCAAAGTACTCAACCAGTAAACACATTGATACAACAGAAGCCTTATCTGTCCTCATATTCTGTGCCTGTAAAAGGTCTGCAAAATGACACATTGATACAACAGAAGCCTTATCTGTCCTCATATTCTGTGCCTGTAAAAGGTTTGCAGAATGACTTGGCCAGAAAGAACATTGTCAGGGTCAGATCTAGTCCCCAAAAGAGGATAGACAATGTGGAAAGCTCGACCAGAATTCCAGCTAAAAAACAGGTGAAGCTGTTGGAGATGTTTGCTTCCAGCTGTGATAAAAACAAGCCAAAGTTGATGTCATCGAATGATGACTTTACAAAAGCTGGCAGTGGCCCAGTGACTGAGTCACATCAGATGTTTGATGATGACTGTTGTATAATTGACAATGGCCGAACAGCCCAAGAATCCTGGCAGAAAACTAATATGACATTGTCTTCAAATTCATCCTCAAAATATGTCACCACATCTTCGTCTGGCATGACATCGTTTTCAAATTCTTCCTCAAAATGTGTCACCACTTCTGCTGGTATACCCAAGTCTTTCAATAGCAGCTCTGCAGCAACATCTGACTCCAGCACTGCACAAAGCTGGCCACAACTTAAGGTGGAAAAGGAACTTAGTACATTGTCTACAACAGTGATTTGCCCCTTTCCTGGCACTGGTGAGTCTGTGAGAGTGTCTTGTATTGTGTACTGTTGGTGTCATTATTCTGGAGAATCCCATAACATTGTGTTGTTGGGTCCCCAGTTACTGTTGACTGTCTTTATCAAGCCCCTTCATCTCTGTTCATGGACCGGATGTTTGAGGCCTGGCCAGACAGCCAAATTCTGTATCTGGGTCTTTTTTGGTCTTCCTCTTTCCTTTTACACTGTAATATTTTAGAGAGGCTGGCAGATATTGCTGCATGTTGGTGCCATTGTATTTTCTGACTTTTTATTGTTGTTGACAGTGGTCAGTGTGTTGATTGATTCTTCTTCTTTGCATTCGGTTTCATATGCTCAGATCAGACCATCAGGTGGGTTGCCTCTATGAACTCGCATGTCAGTAGCAGGTCCTTCATGGTTCCCTATAGCTTGCTCTACACACTTTGCTCTTGAGGCCAGGAGTCTTTTCGAAGTAGGTAGAGTGGGCAGGCCTGCAGAATGGGCTCAATTGTTTGTGGTCCTGTTTGACAGGCACACTGTGGGGACTGTACAATCTTTATTTTATGCATATGGTAGTTGAGCATGCAGTGTTCTGTTCGTAGACAGAAAATTGTTGTATGTTGCTTTCTGTTTAGTCTGCGTGGTCTTATGGATATTTACTGTTTGTTTTCTCCAAAATTCCTTGTATTTTCACTTAATAAGTGTTCTGATTTCTGGTAATGACAAAGAATGGGCGTGTCATTTCTCCTTTGTTCCATTTTTTTCAAGTCTGTCTGCTAACTCATTTCCTGGTATGCTGCAGTGAGCCGGGATCCACTGGAGAACGATTTGATTTTTTTCTTTGAGTCTGTTCAGCTTGCGGGTCAGTTCTCTCTCCATGTTGTCTTGTGGATCCCACTGAGTCGCCTGGAGGACTGACATGCAGTCAGAAAGAAAAACAATTTTGCTGTTTTTAATTTTTTTTTTCTAAAGAACTTTGGCTGAATATATAATTGCTTGCTGCTCTGCTCAGAGGTTTGTTGAGTCTTCTGGAGGGTCATGGCATTTTTCCTGTGGTCCCATCTTGCAGCATGATGACCGATCCAGCTCCTCCATTTGTTCCACTCCCTCCAATGATCCATTGGTGTATATGGGTGTCCATTTGGGTTTTGGAAAACAGCTGTAGACACGTTCAAGGATCGTGGCATGCAGTAATAGGTCACATTCTTCAGCCTTTCTGTCTATACCTGGAATTGTTCTAGTTAGGCTGTAGGTCTATGCTGTATGCCTGAATCATTTCTGATGTTGAAGCATCTATAGAAAGGATGTCACTGTTTTTGTTGTTGTCTAGTACAGTTTTGATAGGTGGTGAAAGCTTTGTCTTTTTAGTTGGTTGTTAGTTAAGTAATTTGCTACTCTGTGCATGGGGTTGTTTATGCGTTTTAAATTTTTCTGTTAGGGCAAGCACTTTTTCTTCCCTTCAAAGGCTCAAGCTCTAGAGGCCAGAAGTTGCCTCCAGCTCATGGATTGATGAGCTTCTCATACCTCCAGTGATGATTCTGAGACTAGTATTCTGTATTTTGTTCAGTTTGTATAGATTTGGTTTGGCTGCAGTGGAGTATGCTCCCATGCCACACTCCAGTTTTGGTCGTACCTATCCTGTGTATACTTGTCGTACAGTGTTGGCATCTGCACCCCAGCTTGTTCCATTAAGTTTCTTGATAAGTCTGAGCCGCAGGGTAGCTTTTTTTTGGGTGTCTTAAATGTGGGAGCCCCAGGTTAGCCTTTAGTCGTATTTTTACTCCCAAATATGTGGGGTTATCCTCTTTTGTGTTGATTGATGATACAGTGAACTTTGTTATTTGCGATGTGGTCTCTATAATATCTATTGAAATACAATTTTAGATGTAGTTTTGTTAGTAAAGACGCTAACCTGCCAGCCCGAAGGTCTAAGATATAAATTTGCATTATAGCAGATGTGTGTGTGAGTATTGTGTGTGTGCGCGTGTGAGTATGTGTGTGTGCACGCATGTGTGTGTGTGTGTGTGCACATGTGTGTGTGCGTGTGTATAGTCAAAATTGGCCGTGGCTCCTAGTTTGACCCAGCCAGCCTAAATTTGGTACCAGGTAAAGTCCTGGGAAGTAAAGTTGTTCCAGCATGGTATTGACCTCATCACCCATTGAGTGCCGATTAGTCTCTAAAAGTTTAAGTCTAGCATCATATGCTTGAATCGCTACTTGCTTAAAAAGGGCTCTTTTACTGTATATTTTTATATATGTAACATTCTGGTCGGAATTTTGACACTTCCAGTTGGGTCCAATTTCTCGTAAACATAACTTTTCCGACTTGTCTGACCTGTTTACGAGACACATGGTGTATGCTGTTGGCTGTTTTTGCACCTGCCTAAATATTTAGGTCAGGATATGAATGCATAAACTAAAAAAAAAAAAGAGTTCTGGGGAAGGACTCCATCTTCACAGCAAACAGGGTTTTTAAAGCTAAATTGAGGACAGATAATCTCAGTAAACCTCCCGGATGGTGGTCACAAGGTTACAGCATGAGTCACTTGATACATGTTTTTTATGGCCCTGTGGAATGCATTCCACTTAACGCTTCACCTGTCCATGTTTAATAACTCCCTTCTCTCCGTGTGGGTTCCGGGGCCCCATTGCGGGGGAAAGCCAGAATAGACACAGTGCCCCAACGAGGCGTGTCATAGGAATCGACTAACTGGGAGCTTCCTGCAAAGTCAGAGTGCACCTTCCCGAGCGGTAAGGAACAACCAGCTGCGAACAAATGAGCCAGTAAAATGGATGCACAAAGCCAAACTCCAAATGGATAAACAACCAGGACTTTTCGCTGGATCTTGCAGCTGGTGAACAAAGAAGAAGAAGAAGATTATTACTCCTTTCAAATATCTTTATCTATTTTAAGAATATTTTTTTGTATGTAAACAAATTCTTTCAAATTTGTGTGTGATCTGTGTTTAAAAAAAAAAATTATGAGTGGGTCATTACCCTTTTTGTGTGTGTGTTTCTGAGGTGAGAGGGTTGCATTTTAACCATGTTAGAAAAAGTGTAAAGTATCTTTATATCTCATGTTTTCTAAATCCCTGCATTGGAACCCACTAGGCAAAAGAGAAAGAGGAGATATGGTTTAAACAAAAAGTAAATAAAGACACAATGAATAATATATGGAAGGCATGGAGGGAACTGTGAAAAGAAGTGAAGGACCCATTCTACGTGAGTGGTGCATCTGAGGTGTTGTAGACCCAACATCTCCAATCTGTTACAAATCCCAGAGAAGCCGCTTTACTGACATTGCTGCATTGGCCAAACCGCTTAAGGGTATTGGTTCTCTTTGAGCCTGCGCTTTGTTTAGGAAGTTTGGATAGTATTGTATTTAATATTTAAAAAAGTAGCATTAGGAGGCGGGGAGATAACGATTGTCTTTTTAGCAATGGTGATAATATAGTTCTCTCTTAGCCATTAGAAATGGGGGTGATGGTATGAGTCAAATGCGCACATTTTTTCCCTAAAGGAACATTATTGTTTTCTGTCTGTTTATTGATTTCTTTTCATCTTAGTTGTTGTTTTCTCTCTGTTTATTGATTTCTTCTTATCTTAGTTGTTGTTTTCTCTCTGTTTATTGATTTCTTCTTATCTTAGTTGTTGTTTTCTCTCTGTTTATTGATTTCTTTTCATCTTAGTTGTTGTTTTCTCTCTGTTTATTGATTTATTCTCATCTTAGTTGTTGTTTTCTCTCTGTTTATTGATTTCTTCTCATCTTAGTTGTTGTTTTCTCTCTGTTTATTGATTTCTTCTCATCTTAGTTGCTGTTTTCTCTCTGTTTATTGATTTCTTCTTATCTTAGTTGTTGTTTTCTCTGTGTTTATTGATTTCTTCTCATCTTGTTGTTTTCTCTTTGTTTATTGATTTCTTCCCATGTTAGTTGTTGTTTTCTCTCTGTTTATTGATTTCTTCTCATCTTAGTTGCTGTTTTCTCTCTGTTTATTGATTTCTTCTCATCTTGTTGTTTTCTCTTTGTTTATTGATTTCTTCCCATGTTAGTTGTTGTTTTCTCTCTGTTTATTGATTTCTTCTCATCTTAGCTATTTTCTCTCTGTTTATTGATTTCTTCTCATCTTAGTTATTTTCTCTCTGTTTATTGATTTCTTCTCATCTTGTTGTTTTCTCTCTGTTTATTGATTTCTTCTGATCTTAGTTGTTGTTTTCTCTCTGTTTATTGATTTCTTCTCATCTTAGTTGTTTTCTATCTGTTTATTGATTTCTTCTCTGCTTATATTAAAATTAAAAATAATTAGCAAATTAGAAAATTTAAAAATTAAAAAAAAAGTGACCTCGTTTGTCTAAAATGTTTTCTTCTCCTTTTAAGGGTTTCTTTGGTGGAATTCCTAGGTTCTGAGGTTGTTGTTTTTTTTAACCAGGGGGGTTTCCAGAACAACATGATAAAAGGTGACGTCTTTCCCTGAAATGCTCCTAACAGGCTAAATCTCCTTTCAGGTTTACTAGACTGTGATGACAGAACACCATTCCAGTATTTATCTAGTTGGACTGATGTGCAGCCTCCAGCATCGTTGACCATCAAGGTAAAAGTTGCATTTTGCTTTTTTTTTTTTTTTTTTTTTTCAATGTTGATCTTCCCGTTGTTCTACAAATTGTAGAGTGCATTAATATGTAAACCCTAGTACTCTAGGATCATAGAATTGTGAAATGCCTTCACTAACTTCTAAGTCAGAAACCTGAGTAGAGCTCTCAGATATCTTAATGCAGAATATTGGTAGTGTACTTGGGAGCTACTGCACTGCAGCGACTAGACACTTGTCTGCAAGCCTAGAGGTCTTGGGTTTAAATCTGTATCAACGCATTTTCTTCTTCTGCTGAACGCAGAAGAAGAATAACATGAGCTCAAATGATGTCTCGGCACAAGATATGTTGGATAAAGAATTGACATCACAGCACTCGGGACACCCCCATAACCGCTCTGTCCCATATTCAGCAGCAAGCAAAGAGTTCCCATTCGGAAGGCACCAGTAACTGTATGATTGTATATCCATCTTGCCTGTCTCTTGAATGTTGAGCGTCAGCTACGTCCCCTGGTAACTTCTCACAGCGTCATTATCCTCAGACTGTAATGATCTATTTGTGCCTCTGCACTGTTAACTCACTCCCAAAGGGCCCTCACAACACCTAGCTTGTCATATAGCAGTTCACCACCAAGTGTTGCAGAACCTGCCATTCTATCTGCCTGCTCATTGCCCAACACACCAGCAGGATATATGCCAGGAAATGTTGCAGAAAGCAAACGCAACCACTGTTATGTTGACAGCATCCCCTCTTGAAAATATGGGTCCAGCACCATGTGCCCAAGGTGTCTGTGGCAGGAAAGGCCATTTTTAACAGCAGGCAACAAAAGTGAGTCACCACGGAAATTACTGGGTTTTCCTCTTCCCATTTCCCATGTATAAGGTAACCCCTTACCTTTTAGCCCAAAATTAAGAAATAAATATTTCAAACATATTCCATATAAAAATCTACCCTCTCCCCCCCCCCCCCCCCCCAATTTTAAACTTAAAATTATTTTGAAATATGTTTCTTACACATGGAAAACAAATCAGATGGTTTGGTCATGCAACACGATTGGCATCAGACAGGGAACCACAGAGAGCAGTGTTATACAGATACAGCGGTAACAGAGCCGGAGGTCGACCATGCAGAAGATGGACTACAGAAATATCAGAGACACTGAAAAGTATGTTATATGAAGCGTGAAAAGGGATTCTAATTTTATCTTGTTTTTGAACTTATTCTAGGCATATATTTCAACACTGACTGACAAGCTAGGCACTAACGGTGGAGCAAACTGGTCTCTGTCTTGTAGAATTAACGATGGAACCGCATGCATGGACGTGGACTTGGCAGACAATGTAAGTGTTCACAACCTTTGTCTTCCGGTGTGGGTTCTGGGATACCATTGTAAGGAAAACATTCCAAACGTTACCCAGGATTCAAACCTGGGTGCCCTGCATGAGATCCCTACATTCACTCTTAGTGAAGGATGGAAAGAAGAGAGGTTGGGGGATACTCTTAGTGAAGAATGAAAAGAAGTAGAGATTAGGGGATTCTCATAGTGAAGGATGGAAAGGAGTGGAGATTGGGGGATACTCATAGTGAAGGATGGAAATGAGTGGAGATTGGGGGATACTCATAGTGAAGGATTGTGTTCTTCATCTCTAGTTGCTTTGTTAAATGGTGTCTGGAACTGCCAACCTGGCTTCTAGTGCTGTCTGGTACTAACGGCTCGATCGTCGACTCTAACATTTCAATAGCGATTCTGCCTAATGTGTCTCTCTTAACCATGGATTGGAGGATACTCATAGTGAGGGATGGACAGAAGTAGAGATTGGGGGATACTCATAGTGAAGGATAGAAAGGAGTGGAAATTGGGGGATATTTATGATGAAGGATGGAAAGGAGTGGAGATTGGGGGATACTCTTAGTGAAGGAAGGAAAGGAGTGGAGATCAGGGGATAGTCAAAGTGAAGGATGGAAAAAAAATGATCAAAGTCCACACTTATTTCTACTCTGTGCTCAAATCAGAAGCATACTGTAGATATGTGCCCAAAATATTCAGGTGTAATCAAATGAGCAGGGTGATAGACTGGCTGCTACCACCCCTTTGAGTGGTGAGCTACATTATGATAAAGCAAGTCTGCTGAATGCTGTCTGGAATCCTGGGAACTGTGCAGCAGAGCATCCATATATGGAGAGAATGTTTTAGCTGGGAGTGAACAGAGGGTCTGGATGACTTTTTACCTGCAGTAGAGGAAAAAAAACATGTGAACTTTTAATAAAGTTGCTACTGGGAGTATCCGAAGTGCAGTCTTATTGGATCTTCATTCATTTATTCATTCATTCTACTCACTATATGATCCTTTAAAAAATGACCTTGGCTCCCAGGTTGACCCAGCTTAAAGGGGTACCAGATGCAGTTCTGGGAAGTAAAGGCGGACAGTGTGATGCTGACCACATCACCCACCAAGTGCTGATTGGTCTATAAAATATAGGTCTAGCCCTAGATGCCCAGTACATCTAAAGGCGTGGAATAGGGTTGTTTACTTTTTATGTTTAAACTCTCTATATGATGACAAATATTTATAGTTTTTAATTGAATTGTCTTTTTGTCAGGTTCTGGCAGAATTGATTGGATTTTCTGCCAAGGACAGTGTGATCATGCGACAGAAGATGAAAACAGAACCAAGGGTGAAAGATGTTTTAATGGAGGTAATTTATCATCTTGAACATCCCTGCTTCTTCAGCTCTTTCAGTCCCAGAAGGTTCCAGAGAATGACTTCAGTAAATGACATTCACAGAGAAAGTTGCAGTTAGAGGAGCCAGATTTCTTTCATAAGTTGTGACCAAATTTTCTTCTTTTGTTTGTTGCCAGGCGGTAAACATATTGTGTTACATACAAGGCTGCACTTTCTGTGCTTTTTAGCCCAACAAATAGGATTTCAACAAACCCTGAATCACTCTTTATGACAAGTTTGTAATGGGAGTTGTGGGTCTATTCTTTTCCCACTCCAATTTATGGCCCATGAACCCACAAGGGATTGACCAAATTGAAATATTATAGAACACGTGTGATGGTTAGGACATCATATGTCGTCTGACACAGTTGAACACACTGGAGCCACTGTGTTGTTGTTACACTGTAAGAAATACAGGGGCTTTCAAATGAAAACATAAAAAATGTAATAAAAATTATAGTAAACATGCCAATGTCAGTATTGCTGCTAAGGATGTCAAGAGTGTTAAGCACATGTCATCATATTGCAGACAAACACAGTGACCTCATCATAATGATGGTTTAAAAATTGCCACACCAATTTTAACATGCACCAAAGAGGAACAGTGTTCTGTTATCCATATTTTTTTAATCAGTGAAGGGGTGAAACCCATAGAAATTAAGTGGTGAATGAAGGTCTAATATGATGTTGCATGCCTTTTAGTCCATCAAGCATTTGAGTGAAGTAAGAAAGTTTAAAAACACATCTGTTACAGACTGTTGACTACTTGGTTTGCCTCATCCGGTAACTTTTGTAAAATATCTGCCCTTCGGTCACAGGTAGGTGTCTAGCCACTATTTTACAGTGGTTACAAAACAGATAAATAAAAAAATAGTAAAGGTTGTGCTTAAACCTCTTGGGTCACACTGGTCATTTGAGGCTAGCCAATATATGTTTCAGAGCAGTCAGCACTTCTTGGCTGATGTAAACATCACATTGGCTGATTTTCTTTCCAGGTAATTTCCTGGTACTCTTTTAGGCTGAGATAACCTGGCATCCAGGGTCATATTTTTGAAATATGCTTTGGCTAGATTTGAACCTGTGGCAAGCATGCAAGGGTGGTGGCCACTGCTCTACCATGACTCTCTCTCAAACTGATGCTGTCGTGTCTCCATTGTCTGTCAAGTGTCCACTGTAGACTATTGTATTTGTGTTTAATATTTTCATATTTTGCTGTCTCCTAATGGTCACCAACAACAGAAGGAACAGGGTCATGAAGACTAGTATTAGAGACTACCTGAATTAGGTTGAAAGACAAAGAATGCATGTTGTTTTTTCGTGTGTGTGTGTGTTTTTTCAGTCTTGTAAGAATTCAGCCATACCTAGCTGTATATGATCAAAAACAAACGCCTGAGGAAAAGGATGAACATAAAATGGGATGAATTAAAGGGGAGTGAAGAAATAACAGAAATGACTGAGCAAAAACTATCAACAGTTCTAATACAGAGATGATGGGGCTATATATGGACACATACTGAGAAGAAACAAGAGACAATCATCAAACAAGCACTGAAAATAAAAGATTTAAGGAGGTGAGGATGATAAAATAAAGATTGTACAGTCCCCACAGTGTGCCTGTCAAACAGGACCACAAATACCTGAGCACATTATACCAACCTGCTCACTCAAAGTAAAACTTCGAAGAGACACCTGGACTCAAGAGCAAAGTGTGCATAGCAAGCTATGGGGAACCATAAAGGACCTGCTACTGACATGTGAGTTCACAGAGGCAACCCACCCGATGGTCTGATTTGAGCATATGAAACCATACACAAAGAAGAAGAAGGATGTCAAAAAGAAATCCTATATTGAACATTGATGAGAGAAGCCAGAGGTAGTGGACTGGGTTCCATCCATGATATTAAATTGATTGCAAAGGACAGAACAGACGGAGAGACCGCGGCCCCTTTGTGACATATAATGGCACAAATGGACATTGAAACTGTCTATGAAACTTTCTACCAAATATCTGTGCTAAATGGTGAGGGTTAGGTTTAAGTTAGTCTCCCAAAGCAAAGTAGGTCATGTTTCATTCACAAGTTTGTTAGGCTGGTCTACTTTCCTCCAGGTTACGGGTGTTTCGCTCTGTTGTTTGCTATCTGGGTTGTCTTGCATTTACATTTTTATTCTGAGAAAGAGAATGCCTTTGACCTAGATTGCAGCACTCTCTGTGGGGAGGAAGGGGGGGGGGGGTGTTAGACCCAGTTTGTCCATGTTTTTGGAGTGTTAAAAGCGCTGGCGTGCTAAAATATACAACACGTGGTATCAACGGCATTGAGAAACACCCCTGTAACCTTGTGCCAAGGTCACATGGCTCAAGGTCTGCCAATCAGAAGTTAGCAAGTGTGTATATGGGCGGGATCTTGGGAGCAAAACATTACTTTTATCTGGTGAGGGGAAGACCAAGGAAGAGATGGATACATGGTATAGTGGCTGATTCCTGCAAAAAAAAACAAAAAACATCCATCAATCGAAAAGTGCAAGACAAATACAGAAAACCTTGACACTCCTAGTAAAACTGATGACCAAACCAGAAGATTGAAATATATGACTTTAGTCAGATGTTTTCAGATTGATTCAATGTGAATTCTTGTTTTCCAAATGAATCGCCAGGGACTGTCCAAGTGCCAGCAGAAGCTGATCAACATGTCGTGTCTGATGGAAGTGGACTTTGTCTCAGCAGTTAGAAAACCTGTGGTGAGGAAGTTGATCCCCGTGTCCTCACAACATGTTCTGCAGCTTCTAAAGCGGGTGGAGAAACTCTTGTCTGTTTGAATTGGCCATTTAAAAAAATTTTTTTGTTAACATATGGTGCATTAATTTGGGAGTCGCCCTGGCCTAGCAGCTAGACGCTCGGCTGTGGATTGGAAGTTTCTGGGTTGGCTTGTAGGTTGACCCAGCCTTGAGTGGGTACCAGGTGCAGTCCTTGGATGTAAAGGTGTCTGGTGTGATGCTGACCACATCACCCGCCAAGTGCCATTAGTCAAAAATATAGGTCTAGCCCTATATACCCAATACGCCTAAGAGACATGGAAAAGGGTCCTGTATTGACTTTATGGTGCATTCATTTATGTTAATAAAAGGTTTCATCAGGCTGTAATTTATCATGTTGACAGATTGGCAGCTCAGTAGGCAAGACAGATGTGAACTGTCTTCTGTAAAGACAGACAAATGGGGGATTCATGTGTAACAGACAGACAGAAGCAATCAGAACCAGCAAGCTTGTATAGACTCATAGGAAGACAAGATAGACAGTATGGTTTTAGAAAAACCATTTTTTTTTTTAAGTATCCAGAAACCGTGAGTTGTTAACCCTTTGGCTCGGTACTATGGATATCGCAACCCTTCGGCCTTGATTCCATGATAGATACCGTTAATCTGGGAGAAATGTGGCTTATTTGGGGGGCCTACCCCTGGACCACAGGGAGTTTGTCACCCAGTCGCCGCCAAGTTAGCTTTAACCAACTACGCTAGCAAGCTGGGCAAAAAACCAGTGTTAAAAATATTTCTGACCATTTTCACTTGCATTCGTATCCCCCCCCCCCCCCCCTCACCAATAGTGTATATTTTTTCATCATCACACTTTGCCGTTAGCTCAGTCCTTCATTTCATTTCTGCTACTAACTATTTTATGTTAGCTTATTTTGAACTATCTTCTTTGCCCCTGAAGCAAGTAAGTAATGATGAGACAGTACATCTAGAACTGTATGACCAACTAACATAAGGATTTTGGTTCTCAACTGATGGATGCTAATTCACTCACCCTGCTAGCCATCTGCATTTTATCTTTAAAATTTATGTGTTGATGAATACAATTATTATACAAATCAGTACAAATGATGTTTGTTAATTTGTCTTTTGTTTATCGCATATCAATAATTTTTTTTTTTTAATGTTAAGTAAGTAAAGGACCCTTTCCCATGCCTTTCAGGCATATTGGGTATATAGGGCTAGACCTTTATTTTATAGACCAAACGGCACTTGGTGGGTGATGTGGTTAGCATCACGCGGCTGCATTTACTTCCCAGGACTGGACTACACCTGGTACCCACTCAAGGCTGGGTCGACCGTGTACCCACTCAAGGCTGGGTCGACCGTGTACCCACTCAAGGCTGGGTCGACCGTGTACCTACTCAAGGCTGGGTCGACCGTGTACCCACTCAAGGCTGGGTCGACCTGGGAGCCAAGGTCATTTTTGAAAAAAGTCTGGCCCTGTCAGGAAGTGAACCCACGAGCTTCCGATCTGCAGGCAAGCATTTAGCCGCTAGAACCACAGTGGCTCCCCTTTTTAAATGTGGCATTTTAACAATTGAGTACACATCATCATCAAACAATCATAACAAGTGCTAATCAGTGTCTTTGCTAAAGCCACGGCAACAGGGCTTTCATTGTGTCAACACTATATATATATATATATATATATAACGGGCACAAAAGATGGCGGCCGCAAAAACACCCTAACAGAGCCTCAGTTGCGTGTCAATTGCGCACTTCTGGCGACCTAATTTGCGGTTTTCCGGCGACTACCACCACCGTTGAGAGTATCCCTCACGCCGCATGAGCGGCGTGTATTGGGGCTAAATTAGATGGCTGGGACTCACGAGCAGCAGCTTCCGCATCTCCTGCAGCTTTGCTCCTGAGTCCTAGCCATCTAGTTTAGCGGAAAACCGTAAATTAGGTCGCCAGAGGTGCGCAATTGACACGTGACTGAGGCCCTGTTTTTGGCCGTCATCTTTCGTGCCCGTTATTCGGAGGATAGCCATATATACTATTTAAAACAAAAATGCATACATAGCTACTGAAAGGAACATAAATTTGACATTCAAAAATCTGTTTAATTTCATGAGTAAAATTGTTCAGATTGCACACAAGAATACCTTGGGGTCATCCAATCAATTGACGGTTCTTTTGCATTTGGATCATCAATAGTTTTGAGTTATACAGGTTTTCCAGGTTTTCTCTGTCAACTAATAACGCACCATTTGATAACTGTGCCCCCCCTCCCCCTTTTTTTTTTCCTCCAAACCTTATACAGATCAAAGAAGCTATGCTTGCACACAATTTCTTTAGAGACATAATGGCAAAGAGGTGCAACTTTCTAACTTGATCAGTCCAGGTACAGTTAACTGCACGGATGAAATGTGTTTGAACAAAATATGAAATCTGACGATGGTATGTACATTCCTCTGATCCCAGGATAGTGGATGAAACATCTAACCTCAAATAATGGCAATAAATTTGGACGACCAGTGTGTGTGTTCTCTGTTTATTAAAAATCCCTTACAGTTTGGAGTTACTCTACTTCACATTCACCGGCTCTCAACTCTGGCAGAAAGTTCTGGCTTTTCATCCACTTCTGAATTTGTTTAGTCCAGTTCCAGAACCAGATTTTTGCATGCACATCTGTTTTACAGATCTAGCTAATTTTTTTATGCAAACTGTTGGTTCCTTGCCTCTTAGGCAAGTGCCCTCTGATCTGAACAAAACATCCTTAACTATTCGACTCTCTTGACCTACTTGTTCAGAGGCAGTGGGTTTATTCATCCCCTCCCCCCTCCCCCAGATGGGGACCCGGAACCCACACAGGGAGAATCGGAAGCTCAGAAGAATGGACCAAAAAGGCAAATGTTCAGGCTAAATAAGAAAACATATTTATGAAAGGTTAGCTAGTGTGATTTTGTTATTTACACCTTTGGCTTCTAGGAATTGCAACAGGGTTTGTCAACTGCATTGAAGAAACAGCACACTTGCTTAAATTGGGAGTTAAGTATATCCTGACAACCTCAGCAAATTTGCAGGACATCAGACCTCTATTTTAGCAGTGGTGAAATGTCACCGAAAGCTTGTTTGGTTTGGACATGTTGTGAGACATGGTTGGATTGTAAAGACTACATCGAGGAACACTGACAAGCAGAAGACAGACAGATGGCGTGGTTTTGTATTAGTGCTTCCATCTATACACCTCCACAACCCTAGCGGGTCAAGGGTTGTGTTATTTCTGACAAAAAGGACAGATAACAGGAAGACTGTCTCATCCTGAGAAGGCTAAATCTAGTCTCCGGTTGTGTACAAAGCCCCATATATGCAATATATTGCTATATCTGCAGTCGCCTGTTCTTGAAAAGTGTATTTAAATGCCATTGGCTGTGTGTGCACCTGTGCAGTGTTTAGGAAGCCTGGGTGTGAATATATTGACTAAGTGTTGCATTTAGAGGGGTTTCCTTGTAAATCCAATGGCTTTTTCTTAAAGCAGGGGGACTTAAAATTATCCTGTTAGTCTCAGTGATAGAGGTCATAAGTCACAGCAAGAGTCATCCAATACATTTTTGTTTTAGACCCTGGAGAATGTATATCATTCAATGCTTTACTCTGTTCTTGTTTACTGAATATTCCTTTTATATCATCATCATGTGCTCTGCCAGTTGGCATAGGCGCTCATACATCTCCACAGATCACGATCACTGCTTGCCTGTAACAGCTCTCTTGATGATATCCCTCCATGCCATCATTTCAGCATCATTCTCACATTTCACTTTGCTAGTTTAACACTTATATTTTAAATATATTTTTTTAATTGCCATCGGTGACCTGATGATGATCTGGCATCACCTTTGACTGTCCCTATCAGATGAGGTTGTCCTTAGACTTCCAATATCGTTGTTTGTAATGATTCAATCTGTGTTTCTTCATGAGATATCTTGAGTATAATGTGGTGGTTTCCTGTTGCCTTCCACATCCACATGGGGTATTTTAACCTGCACCTTTGACAGTAATTTTCATATGTCAAGACAAGTGGGTGCCCTTCTCTGCTCAGCTGCGGAATGATCCATTTATTCCGGTGGATACTGGGTTCCCATATCCGTATTAGCTATCCATGGTGTATTTCCAACCTTCCACCACTCGGAGGTGCAGGTTGGGATTTTCCCTTTCATCAAATTTGAGACCAGGATAGCATTTCTCAAACTTTCTACCCTTTATATATCTTTATATATTTAAAATCAAAAATTTAACGAATGCAGAAGAATAAAATGTTAATTTATTAGTTGATTGTTCAATAGCTTTTTTTGTTATTTTAAGGATATTTTTGGAAATTCTCATGAGTTCATGACCCTTTAAAAACAATAATTTGTTAGCATTCTGCAGGCGAAAGAGTAAAGACATTTGTTGGGGAAGACGGAACATCTGTGGTTTGTGACCAGTGTGTTATGGTGTCAATTCTTAAATCAGAAACAGAGCTGCCCTGGCAAAACTGAAAAACCTGGAGAAGAAAAATGGGGTGAACAAAGAAAGAAAGGACATATGGTGAGCTGTACTCGGTACCAAAGGCTTGGAAGAATTGAGATGTGGTTGACAGCCTAAGCTTCACTAACACTTAGATGCTCCCCTGCTGGCCCAGAGTCTTGGGTTCAAATCTGTGCCTGGCAGATTTAGGAAACAAACTCCCTGGTCTACCAAGCCTAACATCAGTGCCAGGAAAATGTTCTGGAAAGTAAAGGCAGTTGATGTAATGTTGTTTACAAGATAGAATGGAATAGAGAAATACATTTTTAGCCCAGGAAAGAATGGAATAGGGAAATAAATTTCCAGCCCCAAGATAGAATGGAATGGGGAAATACATTTTGAGCCCAAGATAGAATGGAATGGAGAAATAAATTTCGAACCCAGGGTAGAATGGAATGCAGAAGTAAATTTTGAGCCCAGTGTAGAATGGAATGGAGGAATAGACTGTCAGCCCTATGTGACATATAAAGGCACAACAGGGAAATGATGATGATTAAATTATATGTGACACTTTAAAGAATAACAGCACATATCCATACAGTAGTATTGATAGGAAGGGAACTGACCCAAAGACTTATCTGGCCCTGCCTGAAAAAACATATTTTGATAACGACCTGTTTTGAACACTCAGAATTCATATTTTATGACACCAGACTTAATTATCTTTATTTCGGCATTAGGTCGTTCATTTGTAGTTTCTTGCTCCTCCATTTTCTTTAACACTTGAGTGCCTTCAATCACTTTTCTGCAACACAAAAGTACAAAAACATATTGCCAGCACCAAAGTACACAAACATATTGCCAACACCAAAGTACACAAACATAGTGTCAACAGCAAAGTACACAAACATATTGCCAACATCAAAGTACACAAACATAGTGTCAACAGCAAAGTACACAAACATATTGCCAGCACCAAAGTACACAAACATATTGCCAAACGAAAAGTACTTTGTTTCAACATGTTTGCTCTGTCCATACTTCTTCCTCCACTAAACACAGCCGACACAGTCAATCCAAGCGTGGCCTAGTGTGTAAACACTAAACACAGTCAATCCAAGCGTGGCTTAGTGTGTAAACACTAAACACAGTCAATCCAAGCGTGGCCTAGTGTGTTAAACTAAACACAGTCAATCCAAGCGTGGCCTAGTGTGTAAACACTAAACACAGTCAATCCAAGCGTGGCCTAGTGTGTTAAACTAAACACAGTCAATCCAAGCGTGGCCTAGTGTGTTAAACTAAACACAGTCAATCCAAGCGTGGCCTAGTGTGTAAACACTAAACACAGTCAATCCAAGCGTGCCCTGGTGTGTAAACACTAAACACAGTCAATCCAAGCGTGCCCTGGTGTGTACACACTTAACACAGTCAATCCAAGCATGCCCTGGTGTGTACACACTTAACACAGTCAATCCAAGCATGCCCTGGTGTGTAAACACTAAACACAGTCAATCCAAGCATGCCCTGGTGTGTACACACTTAACACAGTCAATCCAAGCGTGCCTTGGTGTGTACACACTTAACACAGTCAATCCAAGCATGCCCTGGTGTGTAAACACTAAACACAGTCAATCCAAGTGTGCATTAGTGTGTACACACTTAACACAGTCAATCCAAGCATGCCCTGGTGTGTACACACTAAACACAGTCAATACAAGCTTGCCTTGGTGTGTACACACTTAACACAGTCAATCCAAGCATGCCCTGGTGTGTACACACTTAACACAGTCAATCCAAGCGTGCCCTGGTGTGTACACACTTAACAGTCAATCCAAGCATGCCCTGGTGTGTACACACTAAACACAGTCAATCCAAGCATGCCCTGGTGTGTACACACTAAACACAGTCAATCCAAGCGTGCCCTGGTGTGTACACACTTAACACAGTCAATCCAAGCATGCCCTGGTGTGTACACACTTAACACAGTCAATCCAAGCGTGCCCTGGTGTGTACACACTAAACACAGTCAATCCAAGCATGCCCTGGTGTGTACACACTAAACACAGTCAATCCAAGCATGCCCTGGTGTGTACACACTAAACACAGTCAATCCAAGCGTGCCTTGGTGTGTACACACTTAACACAGTCAAGCCACATGATGATGGTTAGTGTCACATGATGATGGTTAGACCACATGGCACGGGTGGGACAAGAACATAGACTTGCCACATGATGATGGTTAGACCACATGGCACGGGTGGGACAAGAACATAGACTTGCCACATGATGATGGTTAGTGTCACATGATGATGATGGTTAGTGTCACATGATGATGGTTAGACCACATGGCACGGGTGGGACAAGAACATAGACTTGCCACATGATGATGGTTAGACCACATGGCACGGGTGGGACAAGAACATAGACTTGCCACATGATGATGGTTAGTGTCACATGATGATGATGGTTAGTGTCACATGATGATGGTTAGACCACATGGCACGGGTGGGACAAGAACACAGACTTGCCACATGATGATGGTTAGTGTCACATGATGATGGTTAGATCACATGGCATGGGTGGTATAAGAACATAGACATGCCACATGATGATGGTTAGATCACATGATGATGGTTAGACCACATGGCATGGGTGGGACAAGAACATAGACATGCCACATGATGATGGTTAGACCACATGGCATGGTTGGGACAAGAACACAGACTTGGCACATGATGATAGTTAGAATGTGGCATGGTTAGGACAAGAATACAGACATGCCACATGATGATGGTTAGATCACATTGTATGGGTGGGACAAGAACACAGACTTGCCACATGATGATGGTTAGACCACATGGCATGGGTGGGACAAGAACACAGACTTGCCACATATCACATATTAATGATTCAAACAAACTGTGAGTGTCATTACCCAAAAGCCACAAATTTGGTGTCCATCCATGGACAAGGTTGCAGAGTTATGTAGAACTGTGACCCATTGGTGTGACGACCTCTGTTTGCCATTCCCACAATGCCTCTCTCGTTGTGTTTCAGAACAAAGTTTTCGTCTGAGGAGTCAAACATTTGAGAAAACTTTCTCATAGATAATAAATGGAAGAGCAAAAAAAAAAAAACATCTTTCAAAAACAGCTTTCTAATCAAAAACTAAAGACATCACTTTTTCAGGATGCCTTCTCCTCCTCATCATCATCATCTTCTTCTGCCTCCTCCTCTTCTTCCCTTTCTCCAGCTACCTCAAGAAAATGGGTGAAAATGTAAAGATACTCGCTGTGATCTTTCCAGTGTGTCTTCATTTTCCTGAGGTTGTTCTTCATACCATAATTTTATCTTTCTCTTGCTCTGTGTATGTTATGTTTATTCAGTGTGGCAGATGGTACTAGAGCATTCTCATTAGATGGCCAAACCAATTAATTAATTGGTTATTTAATCAGGATAATTGTTTCTTTTTAATAGAGCTACCACCTACCTAATAGTAAGCTATGATAGCGGGGAAAAGGGGGGGGGGGGGTTTAGCATATTTGCTCAACAGTCTAAAGTCATGCCCTCAAATCCACTTCAGGCAAGGATTTGAACTCTTTCAGTCCCAAACAAGGCACTATGTATGCTAGATATTTACCCATGTGCACCAGTCAACAGGTTTTTGTATATTTGTACATTTGAAGTTTAGTCAGACAAACTAAATTGTAACAGGGAGACGTCATCACTTGTTTTTCCACAAGGTAGGATATTGTGTATTAGTTAATGGGACGAAAGTCAACAGGTCTTAGCAACAATATTTTGCATATGAATATTTGACATCATTGTTGACATGCCCTATGAAAGTGAACGCAGCTGTACTGGCTTTCTAGAAGTCTCTATGATGTCAGCTGTCAATTTAGTTACTATAATTATGTGCAGAACAAGATGATGCAAGCTGATGCAGTAGAGATATACTTAGAAATTCCCATGTGAGAACGCACATAGTAAACAAGTTTTAGCATACAAGAATATTCTAGTAGCAGTCAAAGTGAGAAGAAAACAAATACCTAGCATTCAAGCATCCAAGTATAAATAATGAGTAACAAACCACTTTAGCATCCTTCGGTCTACGAGACTTGGAATAGGAGGGACCAGTCATATGTACTCTCAAAGAAAACCTTCAGTCATCAAGACTTAGAAGAGAAGGGACTAGTAAAATTGACCCTCAAAGCGCCTTCGGTTATCAAGACTTGAAGGAGGAGGGACTAGTAACATGGACCCTCGCAGCTGTGGAGATGCCAACTCAACACTAGAAACAGAGGAACCAGTCACATAGAGCCTCGAAGACAGACACTAGAGAAGAGACATGAAACGAGACATTGAGCTACAAAGACGACACACAAGATACATGGATCCATGGTTAAGAGAGACACATTAGGCAGAATCGCTATTGAAATGTTAGAGTCGACGATCGAGCCGTTAGTACCAGAAGCCAGGTTGGCAGTTCCAGACACTAGAACCATTTAACAAAGCAACTAAAGATGAAGAACACAACGTGACCTTAAGAGTATGTAGCCATAGGGAGAACACAGCGCTATTGATAATATCATTGATGTTGTTTGTGACATTGCTGAGGTATCACAATAAAGACAGTACATACAGTTGTTTCCAGGCATTTTATTATACAAGCATCAGTGACGTGAGAAGCATGCAGCAAGCAGAACATCATCATCACCACTATCGACAGTACTATCTTTCTCCTTGTCTAGAATCTTTCAATCGACTCCTCCTGTAGCAAACTAAAGTCGAATCTGGGTGTGATATTGATGTACGCAAAGATCAGAGCTGTGCTACAAAATCAACCCAACAACACAAGTTCATCCACAATGTGCTGTTTTTTTTTAACCCTGTGGATGTTATTACCCATGCTTTTGTTGTAATCAGGCATTAGTTATGAAATTGTGGGACTGAAAGAGCTAACAAACCGCCCCCTGATGCCAGATCAATCCAAAATAAAATCTACATGTTGGTTTTATAGAGAAGCAAGTGAGAAAATTCTATCTTTTTTGGTCTCGATGCTTAAAATAACATTATTTCAGATGCAGTTGCCACCTGCAAATGCTGGCTAGAGTGACTAAAAGCTTGCATCAACTGTGAGCTGCAATTCTGGTTTGAGATGATTCAGACATATCTGACATCTGACTTAGGCATTTACTTTGCATGTGTTAGCTTCATAATTTTGCTTGAGCTGATATTTTTTTAAACTATATTTCAGATGGGACGTGAATCACATTTTGTGGATTTCCACTGTCACAGAAACGGAGCAGTCACGGGGTGAGCCGTCTGCAGTAAAAATGGAACATTGACTAATAACTGGTAAATAAATAGCTCAGACACAAAAACGTATTCTAAGAGAAGTGATCACCTTCAAATATAGAACCATACACAGACTCCCCGCCATCTCCTTTCCCTTGGTAGATATCTGGAGAAAGAAAACAAATCTCTTTCTGATGAATTAGTTTTGCTGCCTTTCCCCTTAAAATGGCAACAGGAGCATTGTGTGTGGTTTACAACTATGATGCAATGTTGGTGCCTTTTGACACACCAGTTTTAACAGACCACTATTTAGTCTCTTTGTCTGTCATGCTTCTTAGCCACACAGGACTGCACTTAATCACCTGACTGGTGCAGATGTTTTAGGTGCCCTAATTATAACTTCTTTGGAGGTTGAATGGGGATATCTTGAATCTGCCTTGTTGGTCTGACATCTCAGGATTTTACTGTAAACCTTTAGGTAGCCACCCAGAGGTGACAAATTGTCTGATTGATTTTGACATGCTTGTTAGTGATGCAGGAGGTCATTTCCCCCCCCCCCCCTTCCTTTTACTTCCTCTTAAATGGGAGGACCAAGAACCCACAAGAGGCCTGTGGCTTTCTCATCTGAAAAACCACTGGCTGGCAGAACCAAAAGAAGATCTCCTAATGCAGCATAGATCCCTAATCACCTCAATTCAAGCATTTTGAAGATTTGTTCATGTTCAGTTGAAGTTTGGAGCTAACATTCTCCCTGATATGAGATAGCTATCCTTAACATATTCTTGAAAGAAAATAATGACTCACAAGGAGAACTGACTGCCCTCATCAGAAAGAAACAGCCTGCATTCTTTGATCATGTGATGAGAAGGAAAAAGCTGAAGTACATCACGACAGTAGGAAAGTTGGAGGGGAGGAGAGGCAGAGGAAGACTAAGAGAAAAATTGCTGGACAATCCGACATCATGGCATGGAGGATCATCTGAGTTGACTGAAAGTACACAGACCAGAAGGTTGTAGATAGACATGACTACTAATGTCACATGGCATGGGCTTTAAGAATCTGAGGTAGCTATTTTCTGTCAACCATGATTAGTGGCCTCACACAACAAGCATGTTAGGTTACAGTGTTAGTACAAAAATTCATAAAAATGTTAATCAGTAGCGTTCTGAAATTTGCATATGTCATTCTGGCTGTCATTTCTAAGTCAACTACTATTTTCAACAAAGCTTCTACATCCTGCTAGAAGCTAACACCACATTCACTTAAAGTTGACATTCACTGGAGTTATTTCCCTTCAATTCCTAGAGGTCACCCCCCCCCCCCCCCCCTCCTTCCTTGAAGTATGACTAAATTCTGCTGTTATCTTTCTTCAAACTTGATGTCTGTGCAGTAACTGTCATTTTTTCTTTTGCAGTGGGAGCTGTGATATACAGTGGCTAGATCAGTTTTCCAAAGTGGGCTTGTCAGCTGAGGTGTGGCGGGGAAGGGGGGGGGGGGGGGGGGATGTAGCTGTGTCGGTCAAATTTTTTGGGGGAAGGGGGAGGGGCTGGAATGTCTTAGGGAGATGGTAAGAGCCTCAGGGGCAATGAATAAAATACCGCAGCAGGAAGATAACGACAAAATAGAATAAACCATCCCAGGAAAAGCCAGGCAATTAAATAAAGTTGGTCTATAAAATTATTAATCTAGGATCATATGCCTGATGCCACATTGGTAAGAAAATTGTATTTTTACTACGTCCAGGAACTATGCCGTTGAATACTATTTTGTTTCTATGTGTCCAAAGTGCCAAAAGGCATGCAAGTTATCCTTTCCTTTTCTTTAACCTAAAGGCGTAGAAAAGGGTTTTTTACTTTTACTTTACTGAGTTTAGTTTATGAAACCAAAAAATTATACTAACCTCCTCCTTGAATCCATCCATTTTTTACAATCCGATGAAAAATAGAATTTTCATAACATAATTTAAAACCTGATTCATGGGACACACCCTTTTCCCCGGAACACAGCTGGAGAAAGTTGGCACAGGTCTTTGGTGTTAGATCTGAATACAGCTAAACAGGGACAGAAGAATGGAAATATGTCAGTTGGCAGATCAGGTACACAGACCAGAAGCATGATTCTTATTTTGATTTTTACAAGGGATAACAAATAGAATCATCCAAAATAAGAACAATAGTGTTGCTTGTCACCAATACTCTTCCTATTGTTTATATATTTGATCTTCTCCTTCTTCTGCATCTGAACTAGTAAATGCATTGAACTTGTTTACAGAACGGCTGCAATATTTGTACCTTTTGGCTGACAGATCTGACTTATGCAGGCATTTGTTGACCAGGTTAGCCTTCCCAAAAAATATTTTATCCTTTAGTGGGGCTCTCCGGGGTAAAACAGTCTTTATCTTAGCGTTCTCGAGCTGTAAACTACGGAGACAATTTCTAGTTGTTCATCCATTTGTGCCCACTGGTCTTGTACCAGAACTTGAGTTGTGTGCGCACATCTGTTTTACAGATCTGATTTATTTGTAAGCAGAATGTTGGTTCCTTGCCTCTCAGGCAGACACACTCTGACTTTGGCGGAAACTCTGCTAATTTAGTTGTCCTGTATGACATGCTTGTTAGGGAGGCAGTGGGTCTATTCCTTTCTTTTCCTTCCCCAAAACAGAGTCCTGGAACACAAATGGAAGAGTAAAGTGGTCAAGCCATTTGCCTTGTGTTCTGAAGGTGATGGGTTTGTTCCACAGACACGCCATCCAGTTCATCTTCTTCTTTGCATTCACTCCGGCGGAAAGTTCTGGTTGCACATCTACTTAACTCTAGTCCTCTTCCAGAAACTGAGGGTTGCATGCCCATTTGTTTTACAGGTTTGACTCAATTGCAAGCAGACTATTAGTTCCTTGTCTCTCAGGCAGATGTATTCTAACTTTAAAGGAAGTCCCCCAGTTAGTCGACTTACAACATGCTTTTGGGCAGGCAGTGGGTCTATTCTTGTTTTCCCCTATAACAGGGCCCGGAACCAAAATAGAGTGGAGTTTCATTTTTTAAAACAGAGATCTCTAAGATCATCGCTGCAGCTACAGAGTTTGTGCACTGTGGGATGTTCTCGGTAGATTTCTTGCTGTTCTGTGGAGGAAGACAAAGTTTTGTGGAATAACCCAGTACAATGAATTCAATTCTTTTGACTAACTTTCCTATTAACTCTCAAGTCATCTGTGCATTATTAGGGTCTGCAATAAAAGCAGATATTTAAGCATGTGCATCTCTCTCTCACTCTCTTTCACAACATCAATGCAACAGTACTTACCTCATTGACTAGCCCGGCAATAAACTCAGCCCTTTAAAACATCTCTTTTCTCTTTCACTACATCAATGCAACAGTACTTACCTCATTGACTAGCCCGGCAATAAACTCAGCCCTTTAAAACACTTCTTTTCTCTTTTACAACAACTATGCAACAGTACTTACCTCAATGACTAGCCCGCCAATAAACTCAGCCCTTCAAAACACTTCTTTTCTCTTTTACAACAACTATGCAACAGTACTTACCTTAATGACTAGCCCGCCAATAAACTCAGCCCTTTAAAACACTTCTTTTCTCTTTTACAACAACTATGCAACAGTACTTACCTCAATGACTAGCCCACCAATAAACTCCCCATTGATTGCAACGTCCAGGTAGACATGATCATGTTTCTGTGAGTTGAGCTTGCTAGTGTATGCCTCTTCTGTCAGAGTGTAGTACAACGCTTCAGGCCTGTACTCTTCAAAGTTGTGCTCATTTTCTGCCCAACCAATGAGATCATCAGGTCCTCCAATTAGCTCCCCATTGATAAAAGCTATGGCCTTTTCATGAAAAGCCCAAACCTCTCCTCTCAGTTCCTATGAAATTAAAGCACAATATAAAGTCAGTTTTTTAAACTCTCTAGGGAATGAGGCCAGAGTTTGGGGTGAATATTTCAATTGTTCATGACACGCTAACCTACATTTTATTATTCAATCAGTCCCCTTGCCCTCCAACACCCCCCCCCCCCCCCCCTCCCCACCACAACCAGCTCTCTTACACACTCACATGAAACAGTTTTTTAAAGTAACTGTTAAGACAGAAAAATAATGATGTGTAGAATCAATTGCATTTCATTTTATGTTGTTTCTGATTTCTTCTCTTGCTCCAAAATCCTAAAAGATCTTTATGAAACTGATTAAACATGCTCTACATTTTTGCTAAAAGTTTTCACCAAGCAATAAAACAATATAAGAACTTTTTTTTTCAAATGCTCTATTGAAAGTCTGTCAGCCTGCCTATTTGGTTAATGTGAATTGTTTCTTATATTTGGTTAATGTGAATTGTTTCTTATATTTGGTTAATGTGAATTGTTTCTATATCTCCAGTTTTTTTTAAATTCTCACTGCCTAATTCTGGAGTTCCTTTAATTTGTCTTCTTGGCATTCAGCAGCTGTAAACTCTGGCCGAAAGTTCTGTTTGTCCATCTCTCGACTTTAGTCTTGTTCAGAACCTGAGTGTTGCGTGCACATCCATTTTACAGTAGTGACCTATCTGTATGCAGATTGTTGATTCCTTGCCTCTCAGGTAGATGCACTCTGACTTTGAAGAAAGCCCCCAATTAGTCGACTCTTACGACATGCTTGGTGGGTAGGCAGTGGGTCGATTCTTGTTTTCCCCACAACAGAGCCCAGAACCCACATGGGAAATTTATCTGTTGTATTTAGCTGCTGTTGTATTTAGCTGCTGTTGTATTTAGCTGCTGTTGTATTTCATTACCCATTGAGTTGAGTTAAGAACCAACATCGCAGCACTCTAGATATTCCAGTAAGTCTCCATTTTCATTTTCAGCAGCCAGCACTGACTTTCAATTCATACTTCAAGGGCAGGCTTCACTTGTCCTGTATATAGTATCTTGAAAACTTTCCCATCTGCACCCCGTGTTGTACATGTAACTGCTGTTCTTTGCCTTGCTCTTGTTCAATTTCACTGATCTAAAAGTGATCTGAAACTATGGACCAAGAAGAAGAAATACACAAACATCTGAACACTGAGTTGAACTGGCTCATTAACAGCATCCTGTCTGAAAAGCTGAGATATTTTGGCCAGGTTAAATGTCTTGGTTGCCTGGAGAGAACAGGGAGTTAGAGTTCTGGCTATAATGTGTTGTTGCAAAGTGTTGTTAGTCCATGAGTAAATTCCTTAGTTGTTCTCATGCACTTTTTCTTCTACTATTGTGTTCATTTTTTAAACACCAAATTCAGAAAAAGAAACATTAAATTCAAGGCTTCAGTGGTACATCTCAGAGTGAGATGTTGGAGCTTGTTGCTTGCTTTTAGTGTGTCTTTCTTACATAATAGTTCAGCTGTGTTAAGAACCATATCACAAAATCTGGGACATTCCCATAAGCACTCCAGCTCTATCCTCAGTAGCCAGCTCAGAATTCCAATTCTGATGGTACCAGTTCTTCTTGTTTTGTTGTCGCACTGATACCAGGTTGTAGCCCAATACCGTGGTTTTCTGTATTTGTCTTGTGCTTCTCAGGTGGCTTGGGTGATGGATTTGTTCATCTTTTTTGCAGATTTTGGCCTTACCATTTATCCATCTCTTTCTTGGTCTTCCTCTCGCCTTCTTCTCATATGTTCTGCTGTAAAAAGCCTCATATATTTTAGCCTGGCTGCATTCTCAGTAGATGGCTGAACAATTTCATTCTTTGTCAATATAATCCAGAAATGGTTTTATTCCTACTTTCTCTCTAATGCTGGTATTCGTAACCCGGCTTCTTCTTGTATTGTTAGTGACCTTGCAAAGACAGAGCATTTCACATGTACTTATTTTCTGTTCTAGTGCCCTATTCACTGTCCATTGTTCATTTTCCATGTTTGGCAGTGATAACATAAAGTAGGGATATAGATGCTGTTTTGCTGGTTAATGGTACCAGTGACATCTTTTAATCTTACATAGTTAGGAAGGGCCCTGTCAGGCTGGCACTGTAGAAGAAGAATTTAGTTGATAAAATTGATTGACTAGTGGACGGCTTGTGGAAACTTTATGTGCACTTTTCAACTGGAAAAACTATATGAATACTAAAAATACATCAGATTATTATTCTTACAGTAAACATTGTTATGTATGGTGCAACATTTATTTTATCGACTAGTCAGATTTGAAAGGTAATAAGATCAATGTTATGCTGGCCACCTTTATTTCCTAGGCCTGGAACAAATCTTGTGCTGAATCAGCATGGAAGGTCAAGGTTGATTATAAAAATACACATCGATCTGTATTTGAACACAAGATCTTCAGTTTGACAGGCAAGCTCCTAGCAGCTACATTACAGCAGTTCACATCTCTTTAGAAACTGAGAAAATACTAAATGATAGTCCCCACAACATAAAAAATATTAACCAGCAATAAAAAAAATATAATCTCTGTATTGACTTAGACTAACAGAAACACTAATAAACATGACTCAGCATTTTTACTGAAAGGCTGTCACCAGGAAACACAGAAATATAACAATGATACAAAATAATGCACATCTCAAGTGTTCAACCATGAACAAGATGGTAATTGGTTTTTCTTCTTCTTCATGTTCACTGCCTGTAAAAATCGAATAAAGAAATGGTTGTTTACCCAGAAATGCGGCATGCACATTCGATTTAAAGATTTATCATTTAGCTTATTTTTATCTAGACTGGTCGCTTGCCTCTCAAGCAGATGCACTCCAACTCTGAAGGAAGCCCCCAGTTAGTTGACTCTTAGGACATGCTCAGGGAGGAGGCAGTGGGTCTGATTTTTTACCCCCAAAATGGGACAATGGAACTCACATGGGGAGTAAATCGGTTTTTAATTACCTTGCGTTTTTCATCAATGAAAATGTCCCAATCAAACTGGAGCATACCCAGAACAACTGGCTTTGGAAACAGTTCTGGGTTGTTTCTGTGCAAGTCCTGAAATGGGTCAACATGAGCTTGTACATGATTTTAAAACAATTCACAGAATTTAATTATGTAATAAGGAATGTTTGATAAATTCTACCTGATTATATCAAATTTATGAAAGGCTCAATTTATGATGATATTTTAAAATACTAATAGCATAGGTGAAACAACAAACAAAATTTAAAAAAAAAACATGTATAACACATGTAAACATAATGCAGTCTCAGAGTTTATTATATGCAGGCTTTTTCTAGATTAAATGTGTGGCTATCCTCCGAATAATGGTCCCAAATTATTGAGGCTAAAAAAATACACTAACAGGGCCTCACTCATACGTAAATTGCAGACTTCTTTCTGGCAACTATACCGCCACCGCCGAGAGTATCCCCCCACGAAGCTACGTGCGGCGCAGAGGGGGGCTAAACTAGATGGCTGGGACTCACAAGCAAATAAATTAAAGGAAGCTGCAGGAGATAGGGTAGCTGCTGCTCGTGAGTCCCAGCCATCTAGTTAAGACCCCCCCTCCACACAGCATTTGCGGTATAGTCGCCGGAAAGAGGTCCGCAATTTACATATAACTGAGGCCCTGTTAGGGTATATTCTTAGCCTCGATAATTTAATATAATTTCGGAGGATAGCCAAATGTGCCAGTACTCAAACATTCCCAGAACAGTGCATGATACCCATCACAAAGTGTTTATTAGAGTAGTACTGAAAAAGTGATGCCTAGAAAAGTTCTGGTACTGCACACCGTTGCATACCAGGATGATATCACCAGGTTTTAAAAAAAAACATATTACATGCAGCCACTGCTTGAGAACAATCCGTGCCAAGACTAGCTTGCCTTGCCTGTCACCTGCATACTCATAAATGTAATTGTTTTATCAGAAGAAAATACTCATGGTCATTTTTTTTAAATGGATGAACAACACACAAAATTTAATCTGATGATTACATACGTTGGTATTCGTCACTAAATATGAACCTCAGCTTCAAACTGACATACAGGATTCATTAGGATATCATTGTATTTGATATTTTAACTTACCTAACTGTAAGGTTTCATAAATAAAATGCCTGTGTGTGTGTGTGTGTGAGTCTGTGTGTGTGTGTGTGTGGTTATTGTCCCATCAGCTATCCTCCGAATAACGGGCACTAAAGATGGCGGCCGCAAAATATCCTAACGAGTCTTAGTCACTTGTCAATTGCCCACTTCCAGCGACTTAATTTGCGGTTTTCCGGCGACTACCGCCACCGCCAAGAGTCCCTCACGTGGCGTGGATTGGGGCAAAACTAGATGGCTAGGACTCAGGAGCAGCAGCTTCCGCATCTCCTGCAGCTTTGCTCGTGAGTCCTAGCCATCTAGTTTTGCCCCAATCCACGCCGCGTGGGGGACTCTTTGCGGTGGCGGTAGTCGCCGGAAAACCGCAAATTAATTGACACGTGACTGAGACTCGTTAGGATATTTTGCGGCCGCCATCTTTAGTGCCTGTTATTCGGAGGATAGCCAAACAAAATGACCAAGAAGGAAATGTCTATAATCTCTCGTCACTCTCAATCACAAAATAGAAACTCAAGCAATAGTTACCAATACATTGTAATAAGTCCCTGTTCACACTGGGTATATAGTCCCTGTTCACACTTGGTATATTGTCCCTGTTCACACTGGGTATATAGTCCCTGTTCACACTGGGTATATAGTCCCTGTTCACACTGGGTATATAGTCCCTGTTCACACTGGGTATATAGTCCCTGTTCACACTGGGTATATAGTCCCGTCACGGAAATGTCAGTTGGAGTGGAATATCTCAGAAGGATAAGCCGGCACGAACCCCAAATTCGGAATAGTCTCTACCAATCTCAACAACTTGGAGCTGCTAACTTGCGACGTTTAGAATGTACACAACAACGCCAGCAGGTCTCACTGATCACGTCAGCAAAACAAACCGGAACAAAGTCCGAACTGCTCATCAATTTTCACAACTTAGAGATGATAACTTGCACTGACAGGTAGCAACGCCAGCAGGTCTCACTAATCACATCTTTTTCTCAGCCGTTATTTCATTCGCATACCTTTCCCACGTGAAAATCAGTTTTGCCACTCTGAAGGGCGCACAAACGTTACACAATCCTCGGGGACTACAAGTACTGGGACCTTCCCCAAGTCTCAGCTAGTATTCTGATCTCCTGCCCCCTCACTTCATATTCATGCTAGTTAATAATCATGAGATAATCGAAACATTCATACATGTTTTAATCCCACTCATTCCATTATCATTCTGGCTTTTTCTCTCAATATTTATGTGTATACAAGTGACACACAGCAAAATCAGTTACAATATCTTAGACAACTGACAATACAATAATATGCTGGCCTACCTCAACACAAGATTTTGCTTTAATAAAGTTGACATCGTTTATAAGTCCATATAGAGAAATTTTATAGACACACCGCGCCATGTTGTTTGGACAACACCATAGAAACGGTACAGGGAGATAATGCTGTCTTCTCCCCATTCTTTATATGGTGGTTAGAATCGATCAAGTGTCGTCTCCACAATAGAGGCTGATTCTAATGAACTTTCGTTATAAGTGTATACTCTCGCAGACTACTTTTGTCCATCACGTGATGTTATCCTCCCACTTGTATCACTAGCAGTCTACCTTCAACTCTTCCCTCAGCATGTTTTTTTTTTTAATTTTTAGATGTTAGTTACCCTATGTAATGTTTGAGAATGGCTGCGAATAAAACCAGAAGAGATCGAGTGAGAAACGATGTGATTACAAGAACTATTGGAACCATACCCATCGTTAAATTTATTGAGAAGCAAAGAATGAAATGGTTTGGTCACCTAATGAGAATGGAACCAACGATGCCAGCATCAAGAGCATACAACATGAAAATCGAAACAACAAGAGGCAGGGGAAGACCAAGAAGAAGATGGATTGAAGGAGTCACGGACAACTTGAGACTTCATAACATCACGGCATATGAAGCGACTGAGCGCGCCCTGGCTCGGTTGCCGATCATCTGATAGACTGCGACGCCTAGCGGCACAAGCAGATTTTGACAAAAGAAGAAGAAGTTACCCTATGTCTTTTAATATTGCCCTAAAAATTCACATCTCTCTCTCCACCTCTTCACCCCCCCCCCTTTTCTCAAATTCCATTCAGTAGTTCCACTTTTATTTTTAGTTCTTTTCTTCTAGAATAGGTTAGTTGCGTATCCTTTGCCATTGCCTCTAAACGGTCGGCTTTTTTTATACCACTGTCGAAAGTTGAATTATGAATCGACATTGTAGCACTCGGTACACTCCCAAAAGCGCTCCGTCCTCATCTTCAGCAGCAAGTGAATAGGTCCTATTCAGATGGTACCAGTAACTGTCTGATTGTACACCTGTCTCGCCTGAGTGTTGAGCGTCGGACAGATCTCCTAGTAACTCCCTGCAATATCATTTTCCTCAGACCATAATGATCTATGTGTGCCTCCGCACTGTTCACGCGCTCCCAAAGGACCCTCACAACATCTAGCTTGTCATTCATCAATTCACCACCAAATGGTGCAGAACCGGCCAGTCTTTCTGCCTGCTTATTTCTCACAACACTGGCATGACCTGGAGAAAATATCCAAAGGATGCTAACCACCCGAGATCTCTAAAGTGATGCTTGCCACTCTGCACGTAGCTGCCTGTCTCCAGCTTTCTCAACATGCTCTGTGAGTCCGTTACAATCACGGCATGTGCTTCAGCTCCGATTCTCAAACCAGTGGAAGGCAGCAGAGACTGGCTCCACCTCCATTCTCAAACTAGACGTCATATCATATGCCAGGCTTTGTTGCACTGAGAGACATCCATTCGCCTTCTCTATGAACCCCCGTGCACTTCGTCTTCCCGTCAACACAGAGCCATCTGTATAGACAATCACATCACCTAGGCGGGAATTGTCATGAATTATTTGTTGAACTTCTGATTCTGCAGCACCAGCTGGCCAGTCCCTGCACTCACGTCCTAAAGTGATTAGAATCCTACACAAATCTGAGACCTGATCGGACACTTCGACCCACCCTCTCCTTGCCTAAATTGATCAAGGTCCAATTGTGTCTTCAGCTTGCGCCATCCAAGACTTTCTTCTTTTAAAGTCTTGGCACCAAATTGTATGCATTCAAACAATTTATTTTGAGTAAAATAATCAGTGTAACAAAAGAATGGCTATCACTTATTGCCCTCTTCCTTGAAGCATTTGCGATCACATTTAGGAATATTGCTGCCACAGGTGCTTCTTCAGAATCTGGACATACATCAACAAACCAAGCACCCTGAACCAACAGTCGCACCACAATCACGGTTCCTTTTTCAGAGTCCTTGTCATCACCATCAACCAAGAAACTTAAAAGAGACTGTGCCAACTGTGTTATGAAGCAGAAGACAATTATGAATATGGAGCAACAGAAAAAAAATGTTTACAGCGACAGATACAAGGACTCAAAAGTGCAGCTCAGAGAGAAGCAAAAGCTCAGTTTTCCTTGACCAATTTGAACAAGACAATCAAAAAGAAGACACGGTCAGTTAATCTCTGGAATCCTAAATTTACAGATTTAAAGGAGAAATATGATGAAGCGTTGAGATCATTTGCATTTCTGGATGTTTTAAGGATGATGAGAACAGATTACAAGCCAGTTTTAATTCCAGCACAGATTAGGCAAATAATTGAAGGCAACAGATGTCGAACTTTATATACTGTTTGAAAAAAGCTAAGCAAAAAAAAAAAAAACTTAATTGCAGAAGAAAAGACTTGATACCTACAAAAAGAGGGTCACCATTGAAAAACAGAATACTGAAAGGATGCACGCTAAACAGTTACTGGAGTCCTTTTCCGCAGGTAAAATAAGTTGACAGATTTTCACAATAAAGAAGAATGCTGAAAATAAAAACTTTGCAGACAAAAGTGTTTGTTATAATTGTGGACTCTCTGTTCTCCCAAACTCCTGTTGTTAATCTTATCATTGTAGCTGCTGTCTTACCTATTCTGGTGTTGATTTCTTGGTCCAGTGAAAGTTTATTGACTGAGGATCCCAGTTATGTAAAATTATCAACTATCGCCAGGTAATCATTATCAATGAAAACTGCAGGTCTATCATTAGAACTTTGCTCCAGCAGCAAAGTTTGAGAGGAAAACCAAGATAGAAGATGACGGACAGTTTGGAATCATGAGATGCCAGAATATGTAAAAGAAATGTCTGACAGTACACGAGGCAGAAGGCCGGGTACAGACATGATTATCAACACCCATAGAATAGATAATAGTAGTAGTAGCAGCAGTAGTAGTAGTAGTAGTAATTTAAACAGTATTCTGTTCAACCCATCAGCCAGATTAACACTGGGATATATACAGTTTTTCTATTTTATTAATTGATAATTATGCCAGCTAAGTATATTTAGTTATAATTCACACTACTGGGTACCTTATGTATAATTGTGTATGATTTTTCGAGTATAGAATGTGAAATTCAATAGATTTTAAATATTCTTTCAGTTATAGTAATTATATTGTGTAATCTAATTTTGCAGATATTTAAATTAATCTGGGATACCATTATTCTGACTTCAGATATATGAACATCTCATATGCTAACACCTGTTCTTGTGGTCTGCTGGTTAACTCTTTCTTGTAGGTCTATCTCTAGAGCCATCTAGTCTCAGCATTGAACAAACAACTGGAAAATCGTATCAATTCTTTGGAGATGTGGATATACTTGATATACAGAAGATTAGGTCGTATTTCATGGAAACAAAAGCTATCAAATACAGAGGTACTGAGGAAATTGGGAATGAAAAGAGAGTTGCTAGGTGAAATAAAAAAGAGACCAGTGAAATATTTTGGCCACATTAAAAGACATAACAGTATTGTAAAGATCATCTCTTGAGGGAAAGGTTCAAGGTAGGTGAGCAAGAGGCAGACAGCGTTACAAGTGGGAGGATAACATCAAGAGATGGACGAACAGCAGTATGAGTGAGTGTATATCAAGGGCAAGAGACAGGGCTTATTGGAGATTCATTGCAGCCAACCTTTATTGTGGAGACGGCACCTGATTGATTGATTTTGTCTCAGCATGTTTTCTGTGTCTATCTCTAGAGCCATTTATTCCCAGCATGTTTTCTGTGTTTATCTCTAGAGCCATCTATTCCCAGCATGTTTTCTGTGTTTATCTCTAGAGCCATCTATTCCCAGCATGTTTTCTGTTGTCATAGCTTATTGCTGTGGATTATATATTCATTAAGTGATAGTAAGAAAAAGAACTACCTTGTGCTCTACAAGTGTACCTACCAAACATATGCTAAATATACCCTTACTTACTGTAATTCTGTCATCTGAGAACTATTGTACAAATGATTACAAATGATTAACTACACAAAATCAATTTTTAAAATATACATTTTATTAAAATGTTGCGAATGATGATGGTGATTCCAGACGAACTCAGTATATAAAATGTGTGCCCGGCTGTGACAACATTCACCTGATGTATATGACCAAAATGATATATTAAGTCGAAAATGAGATCTCACACACATTGTGCCAATGATCATCCACACAGAAAAAGCGCCAAAATTCAAATTTTCAAAAGCCAGAAATCGTCAGATCTAGCAACACAACAGTCAGAAGTTCTAATGTATGAACAACTAACTATAGTGGAGACTTGATATTATTTTGGCACTGGTCTATCATACCTTTCAATGGCCAGCTACTGGAAGTAAAATTCTCTATCTGGCAGCTGAGGTTTTTATCATCTTTACTGTAAAGTAAGAACATGGTAAATGTTCCGTTGTAAAAACCTAAGTTGTTTATGGTGAAATAAATAGGCAAAGGGTTTACGGGCCAAGGGCACATCGGGCACATATATTCTAAATAATCATCCCTCTGTGGGTGGTGTGGCCAGCCATCTTTACTTCCGAGGCTATTTCCTGGTACCAATTTTCAGTTGTGTCAATCTGGGAGCTGAAATCCTTTTCCCCCACATCCTCCCAATGCAAATTTGAATGCAAGACCTTCTGGTCGGCATATTTGGGCATATGGTGCTCACTCTATTGTATTGACCAATCAGCGCTCTGCGGTATTTATCAACTATCTAATCACAAAGTCACAACAAAAATTAAACGTTCACGTATTATGCCAGGTGTAACAAGGAAAGATCGAATCAGGAATAATGATATCAGGGGTAGAGTCACCACAGAATCAATACTGAAGTTTATTGTTAGACAACAAATCAAATGGTTTGGCTATGTAACAAGATTGGCAATAGACAGGGTCCCACAGAGAGCAGTATTATACATATATAGCGATAACAGAAGCAAAGGCGACCATGCAGAAGATAGACCCGGGAAATATGGGAGACACTGAAAAGTACTCATATACAAGAAGGGTTAGTTCCAGTTATCTCCGCTCTACTTCCTGAGGAGTAG